CAAAAATAGAGCTTTTTGGTCTAAACTCCACTCGCCGTGTTTGGAGGAAGAAGAAGGATGAGTACAACCCCAAGAACACCATCCCAACCGTGAAGCATGGAGGTGGAAACATCATTCTTTGGGGATGCTTTTCTGCAAAGGGGACAGGACGACTGCACCGTATTGAGGGGAGGATGGATGGGGCCATGTATCGTGAGATATTGGCCAACAACCTCCTTCCCTCAGTAAGAGCATTGAAGATGGGTCGTGGCTGGGTCTTCCAGCATGACAACGATCCGAAACACACAGCCAGGGCAACTAAGGAGTGGCTCCGTAAGAAGCATCTCAAGGTCCTGGAGTGGCCTAGCCAGTCTCCAGACCTGAACCCAATAGAAAATCTTTGGAGGGAGCTGAAAGTCCGTATTGCCCAGCGACAGCCCCGAAACCTGAAGGATCTGGAGAAGGTCTGTATGGAGGAGTGGGCCAAAATCCCTGCTGCAGTGTGTGCAAACCTGGTCAAGACCTACAGGAAACGAATGATCTCTGTAATTGCAAACAAAGGTTTCTGTACCAAATATTAAGTTCTGCTTTTCTGATGTATCAAATACTTATGTCATGCAATAAAATGCAAATTAATTACTTAAAAATCATACAATGTGATTTTCAGGATTTTTGTTTTAGATTCCATCTCTCACAGTTGAAGTGTACCTATGATAAAAATTACAGACCTCTACATGCTTTGTAAGTAGGAAAACCTGCATGTATGTGTATATACACACACGTATGTACAGTGGGGAAAAAAGTATTTAGTCAGCCACCAATTGTGCAAGTTCTCCCACTTAAAAAGATGAGAGAGGCCTGTAATTGTCATCATAGGTACACGTCAACTATGACAGACAAATTGAGAATTTTTTTTCCAGAAAATCACATTGTAGGATTTTTAATGCATTTATTTGCAAATTATGGTGGAAAATAAGTATTTGGTCACCTACAAACAAGCAAGATTTCTGGCTCTCACAGACCTGTAACTTCTTATTTAAGAGGCTCCTCTGTCCTCCACTCGTTACCTGTATTAATGGCACGTGTTTGAACTTGTTATCAGTATAAAAGACACCTGTCCACAACCTCAAACAGTCACACTCCAAACTCCACTATGGCCAAGACCAAAGAGCTGTCAAAGGACACCAGAAACAAAATTGTAGACCTGCACCAGGCTGGGAAGACTGAATCTGCAATAGGTAAGCAGCTTGGTTTGAAGAAATCAACTGTGGGAGCAATTATTACGAAATGGAAGACCACTGATAATCTCCCTCGATCTGGGGCTCCACGCAAGATCTCACCCCGTGGGGTCAAAATGATCACAAGAACGGTGAGCAAAAATCCCAGAACCACACGGGGGGGGACCTAGTGAATGACCTGCAGAGAGCTGGGACCAAAGTAACAAAGCCTACCATCAGTAACACACTACGCCGCCAGGGACTCAAATCCTGCAGTGGCAGACGTGTCCCCCTGCTTAAGCCAGTACATGTCCAGGCCCGTCTGAAGTTTGCTAGAGTGCATTTGGATGATCCAGAAGAGGATTGGGAGAATGTCATATGGTCAGATGAAACCAAAATAGAACTTTTTGGTAAAAACTCAACTCGTCGTGTTTGGAGGACAAAGAATGCTGAGTTGCATCCAAAGAACACCATACCTACTGTGAAGCATGTGGGTGGAAACATCATGCTTTGGGGCTGTTTTTCTGCAAAAGGACCAGGACGACTGATCCGTGTAAAGGAAAGAATGAATGGGACCATGTATCGTGAGATTTTGAGTGAAAACCTCCTTCCATCAGCATGGGCATTGAAGATGAAACGTGGCTGGGTCTTTCAGCATGACAATGATCCCAAACACACCGCCCGGGCAACGAAGGAGTGGCTTCGTAAGAAGCATTTCAAGGTCCTGAAGTGGCCTAGCCAGTCTCCAGATCTCAACCCCATAGAAAATCTTTGGAGGGAGTTGAAAGTCCGTGTTGCCCAGCGACAGCCCCAAAACATCACTGCTCTAGAGGAGATCTGCATGGAGAAATGGGCCAAAATACCAGCAACAGTGTGTGAAAACCTTGTGAAGACGTACAGAAAACGTTTGACCTGTGTCATTGCCAACAAAGGGTATATAACAATGTATTGAGAAACTTTTGTTATTGACCAAATACTTATTTTCCACCATAATTTGCAAAAAAATTCATAAAAAATCCTACAATGTGATTTTGTGGATTTTTTTTTTGTCATAGTTGACGTGTACCTATGATGAAAATTACAGGCCTCTCTCATCTTTTTAAGTGGGAGAACTTGCACAATTGGTGGCTGACTAAATACTTTTTCCCCCAACTGTATCTCAAGGCAGCTGGGACCATAGTCACGAAGAAAACAATTGGTAACACACTATGCCGTGAAGGACTGAAATCCTGCAGCACCCGCAGGTCCCCCTGCTCAAGAAAGCACATATACAGGGCCGTCTGAAGTTTGCCAATGAACATCTGAATGATTCAGAGGAGAACTGGGTGAAAGTGTTGTGGTCAGATGAAATCAAAATCGAGCTCTTTGGTATCAACTCAACTCGCCGTGTTTGGAGGAGGAGGAATGCTGCCTATGACCCCAAGAACACCATCCCCACTGTCAAACATGGAGGTGGAAACATTATGCTTTGAGGGTGTTTTTCTGCTAAGGGGACAGGACAACTTCACCGCATCAAAGGGACGATGGACGGGGCCATGTACCGGTGAGAACCTCCTTCCCTCAGCCAGGGCATTGAAAATGGGTCGTGAATGGGTATTCCAGCATGACAATGACCCAAAACACACGGCCAAGGCAACAAAGGAGTGGCTCAAGAAGAAGCACATTAAGGTCCTGGAGTGGCCTAGCCAGTCTCCAGACCTTAATCCCATAGAAAATCTGTGGAGGGAGCTGAAGGTTCGAGTTGCCAAACGTCAGCCTCGAAACCTTAATCACTTGGAGAAGATCTGCAAAGAGGAGTGGAACAAAATCCATCCTGAGATGTGTGCAAACCTGGTGGCCAACTACAAGAAACGTCTGACCTCTGATTGCCAACAAGGGTTTTGCCACCAAGTACTAATTCATGTTTTGCAGAAGGGTCAAATACTTATTTCCCTCATTAAAATGCAAATCAATTTATAACATTTTTGACATGCGTTTTTCTGGATTTTTTTGTTGTTATTCTGTCTCTCACTGTTCAAATAAAAATACCATTAAAATTATAGACTGATCATGTCTTTGTCAGTGGGCAAACGTACAAAATCAGCAGGGGATCAAATGCTTTTTTCCCCTCACTGTGTGTGTGTGTATATATATATATATATATATATATATATATATATATATAAAGCCTTTATTACAATTCAGACATGAATTGCGGTTTATCTCTGGTACACTTATTTATTTAGTGTTGTTTACACTTTGACAGTGTAACCATCGGGTGTTTTCAAGGAGTAATTTGTGTGTTTTAATTATTTAATCAAACAGTGTGCTTATAGCATCAGACAAGCTCAGTGCATATGTAGTTGATTTTATTCAAACAAACACATAGGGTGTCTGTCTATATATGGAAAAATAAGTTTAAACAGGACGACTCTCGGTCGACCAAGATTGTTTTTGGTCAGGGACAGCCCTAGTGGGGTGTGTGTGTGTGTGTGTGTGTGTGGTTAAGGTATGCTGACTCATGCTCAGTCACAGCAGTCCCACATGCAGCATCCAATGACGAGCTCCACTTACTTGCCACTTAATATCAATGACAAGAAAACAAACAATTGGACTCTAGAGAGAGGAACTAAAGATCATTTCAAAGCAGAGGGGACACCACCTTGAAACAATGCATCAACAAGACACTTGAACTGTACTTAAATTATTTTTTTATGTATTTCGGATGATGCAGTTTATTTTTTGCCAGAGCATTAAACAGAGCAATTACTGTCTTATATGGAAAGGGTTAACAAAACAGCAGCAAAATGGTTAACAAAAGTGGGAAAATTCAAACTAATGACATGAGTATAAGGCATCGGTGCAGAGAGGTTTGTTTAGCTTTATCAAACTCAGACATACAGAAGAGACAAGGCACTAAAAATAAAAGGTAAGTCGATAGAAACAAACAAAAGTAAGTCTTCCTATAGAGTCTACAAGGATTACTGGCACGCCACACATTGAAATATAATTATTGTATTCTAAATAGAATATTCTACTGATTCCAGTAATTATATTTCTATTACAACACACGTGCTGCAAAGTCTAGACTCTGCTGGACTGAGTTCTATTGGAATCATTGAAGAATCTCTGGTAGCAACTGAACTTGCTATTTAAAAATAAGGTATTGTGCTACTGACTAGCTAAGTGGCTTTTCAAACGTGACTAACTGCTAAAAGCAGTTGACTGTGTAACAGAAGATCACTGCACAGTGTGTTTGGAAAGGCTTTGGGTAAAAGTGGCCAATGCTATTTAGGATCAGCTTACTTTCACTCAATCCTAACCTTAAAGGGGCAATCAGCAGTTGCTACATCCTTTTTTGGACTTATAAATTAACGATGTGTACCAATTGATTTGTGAGGAATAACTTAAAATGCTTCATGTGCTTAGTTCAACTGTCGTACCCCATCAGAACACTATCAGCTTGTTTTACTCCAATGTTTGTAAACAAAGTAAATGTAAATATATAGCCTAAAAATATGGGTAAAACTATAATTTTGATATCACGGATGGTCAGTCCTTGCACCCATAGCTCAGTCTATGAATTTTAGAGTGCTTACATTTCTCCAGTCCCATCCCTCAGCTTTTTAGCAAAACAGGGGCGGGGACTTCATTTGTTATTGTTTCAACTGCTGATTGCCGCTTTAACCATTTGGGGTAAGACATTCCAAACTGACCCTAGATCAATGACTAGGGGAAGGTTCACCCTACTACCTCTGAAAGCAGACCTGGGCCGTGTTCATTAGCCACCAAATGGAAGAAAACTGACATTTTCCGTTGCGTGCCCTAATGAACACAGCCCTTGGCCCACTCAACACTCCACCTAGCCAAGTCCAGACAGCCACCCACCTTGGAGAGGTACTCTCTCATGACCTGGATGAAGTAGGGCATGGAGAAGTCCATGATGTTGTGCTTCCAGGCTGTCTCTAACACCACATCTGGCCTCAGAAGGTCGTAGCAGGTGAAAAGGCAGGCGGCAAAGCACTCCTTCTTGTCCTCCATCAGGAACCAGCCCAGCAGCTCCTCAGCCAGCTCCGTGTCCTTGGACTCTGACGCGTACTGCATGGCATCCTGGAGGAAGATGGGAACTATGAGGAGGAGGTTCAAGATCAGGAGGGGTGACGTGATGCTTGATGTGTTAGAGGGGAAGGTAGATACCAAGACAAAGTGGCAGGTGTGGTGCAATCTAGTAATGCCTAGAAAGTATAGGACTTCTTCCACCTATGGAATACTTTAATATCCCATAGGGAATTTATCTGATTTGCAACAAAGTACACCAACAATCATCTTAACCCCGAACCCTACGCTTACACACTAACCTTACCAGAAAAAATGGCAAAATACTACACTTCCCATTATCCACCTCTCTCTCCTAAAAAATTACGTTCAATGACAATATAATGGCACTTTCCCCAGTGAATGGCAGTCCAAGGAGAAACATGCCTTGGTAAGGAGAAGGGAATGAATGAGTTACCTTGTAGAGTTTGTCCTTCTTGCAGAGTTCCACACTCTGTTTCCAGCGGTTGTTACCCTTGAAGAGGTACGCAGCGATTCTCCTGAACTCGATCAGCTCATGTTTCTCCAAGCGCTGGGCCAGCGAGATGTTGTCAAAGTTGTCATAGGCATCTATAGACGTCCTCAGAGCCTGAGACCATGGAGAGAGGGAAGAAAGGATGAGGAAGGAGTAACTTCATTGTTCAGTGAGGTAAAAAAACACTTTGTTTTCATGTAAACAAGGTAATAGAAATGTCATACTGTATATAGGGCCAGTATCCCAAACCCAGATTAAAGGGATACTTATTTTGGCAATAAAGCCCTTTATCTACTTCCCCATAGTCAGATGAACTCATGGATACCATTTTTATGTCTCTGCATCCATTATGATGGAAGTTAAGAGGTAGTTTTACGAGCCAATATTAACTAGCGTTAGCACAATAACTGGAAGTCTATGGCATCTACTAGCATGCTAGCAGTTACCCTAGACTTAGTCATTGAGCTAACACTAGTTAGCAATTGCGCTAACGTTAGTTAGCAACTTCCTTCAACCTGCACGAAGAGACATACAAATGGTATCCACGAGTTCATCTGACTCTGGGGAAGTAGATAAAGGGCCTAATTGCCAAAATCCTGAAGTATCCCTTTAAGCCTAGTCGAGGATGAAAAATAATTCAATGGAAAATGTGTCTAATGTCTTACTTGTATGACAATGTAACAACCAACAAAAACATTGACCACAAACCTGATAGTCCTCCTCTGTGATGAAGAGGTTGCTAAGTGCTTCATTGATAGACTTGTTGTTGTGGTTCTGTACTGAGCGCAGGTAGGGCTTGACCAGGGGCAGCTGTTTCACCTGGACACACACACACACACACACACACACACCGTTGATTACTAGAACTGCATTCACTATAAGCAGAGTGCACTGTAGATACAAATACATAGCTTCACAGTCTTAGAATAACTACTATAACAGGTATCAATGCTTCAGTTTCCTGTGTTGGCAGATAGGGGGGAAAGAGAGCTTGTCTCACCTTGCTGAAGAAGTTGACGGCACGGGAGTGGTCCAGTCTGGGGGACAGCACTATGAGCAGGTCATTCAGTAACAAAGGCTTGAACTCCAAATAGAACTGAGTGGCTTTGTAATACAGCTCCACGTTGGCCACCTACACAGTCACAGGAAAGAGAGTAAGGGGGAGATTGTCATGTATGAAAGTATTGTGAAGAGAAGCCAATGCGTATGTCCAATTTTAACATTTTACTTTTGAAATTATTGTTTGTCATCTATTGTTGATGTCCTTTATTGTTTTATAATTGTAAGTGTATTGAGATGTTTCAATGTACTTTAAAGAAACACTGAACAATATCACATTAAGTCGAGCTTTGTCATTATAGATCCTATACAGCAATGACTGGTACCTTGGTGATAATGTCTTTGAACTGGCCCTCCTTCCAGGCGTCTGTGGGGTGGTTCATCATGGTGATTATGGCATTGTCAAACTCCTCGTACTTATCGTACAGGAACACCAGCTCCGCCCACAAGTGGGCCTGCTCTGCCGCCCGCAGAACCTTTGGAATGTTGACTCTGGACCAGAAGAGCTCCAGGTGCTCCCTCATCTTCTGGGGTTTGAATTTGGAGTAGAGGATGGCCAGCTCGGTGAACATACCCATGTGAGCCCGCTCCAGCCCCAGGGCTGCCTCCAGCATGGTGATCAGCTCCTCAAAGTAAGCACGGTCCTGAACATACAGGGAGAGGGGGGGATTTGTTAAAGGGGGTCATGAGTTTGTAGAGGTAAAGCATTAAGAGGTTCTAAAGCACCAAATGTGATTGGAGAGAGAGAGAGTGTGTGGAGAGAGGTGGACAAAATGAGAACTTTTCAAGTTGACTAGACTGAAAACTCCAATTTAATACAAACATATAACCTTGACAGCATCTAGCAGCAAGGAGGATAAGGTGCATCGAGATCGAGTGGGTCGTGTGTGTGTGTGCATCAGTCTTACCTGGTAGTAGTTGATGAGTTCCTCCAGTTCGTCAGCATGCACCACGATATGGAGGCCACACATCTGGGCCAGCCGGAACTCCTCTCCGTCCACGCAGGCGAAGCACACTTCCTTCCAGGTCCTAGTGCTGTTGGCCTTGCGCGCCCCGTCTACCGCCGCCTGGTACTCCCCGAGATGAACCAGGGTGGACGCCAGGCGGCCGAAGTTGGACACGTTGTTGTACAGTAACTTGGCCGCATCGTACATTTTCTCATCGTAACAGCGGTCGCCGACCTTCGGTGAGAGGAGAATCGTATGAATGTCAATCAACATCTTACATAAGGAGTTGTTTGGGAAAACAGAAAATAATGTCCTGGTTAAGATTCGAAAACACTTCCTGGTGAACTAGGAGCGAAAAATCACACCGCCGTTTATATTTCCCATTGACTTTGAATACAACAACCTGTACTGTTTAATATATCAGTCTGGCCTACAGTAACAGTACCTGTTGTATGCAGTCTGGCCTATAGTAACAGTACCTGTTGTATGCAGTCTGGCCAATAGTAACAGTACCTGTTGTATGCAGTCTGGCCTATAGTAACAGTACCTGTTGTATGCAGTCTGGCCTATAGTAACAGTACCTGTTGTATGCAGTCTGGCCAATAGTAACAGTACCTGTTGTATGCAGTCTGGCCTATAGTAACAGTACCTGTTGTATGCAGTCTGGTCTACAGTAACAGTACCTGTTGTATGCAGTCTGGCCTATAGTAACAGTACCTGTTGTATGCAGTCTGGCCTATAGTAACAGTACCTGTTGTATGCAGTCTGGCCAATAGTAACAGTACCTGTTGTATGCAGTCTGGCCTATAGTAACAGTACCTGTTGTATGCAGTCTGGCCTATAGTAACAGTACCTGTTGTATGCAGTCTGGCCTATAGTAACAGTACCTGTTGTATGCAATTTGGTCTACAGTAACAGTACCTGTTGTATGCAGTCTGGCCTATAGTAACAGTACCTGTTGTATGCAGTCTGGCCAATAGTAACAGTACCTGTTGTATGCAGTCTGGCCTATAGTAACAGTACCTGTTGTATGCAGTCTGGCCTATAGTAACAGTACCTGTTGTATGCAGTCTGGCCAATAGTAACAGTACCTGTTGTATGCAGTCTGGCCTATAGTAACAGTACCTGTTGTATGCAGTCTGGCCTATAGTAACAGTACCTGTTGTATGCAGTCTGGCCTATAGTAACAGTACCTGTTGTATGCAATTTGGTCTACAGTACCAGTTGGATGCAATGACGTATACAAACCCTGGATAAGTGATGCTAGGTCTTGGCCAATAAGAGCCTTTCAAGCCACGATTATCATACTCCTCCTTTTGGGGCTTTGATTAATGGAAGTAAATCAAGGAAAAATGATACACCCCACATTAAAATGGCCAACTTGTCAACAACGTCACAATGTGCGGCATATGGATGCAGCCAGCACCAATTCAAGGGATGTGGGAAGACATTTCATATGTAAGTACCAAAATGTTTTGCGTAGAAAATGTACTTTTTGGTCTACTTTGAGAGACCGACTGCTCCTGACAGCTTGTGGTACTGTGTAACCATAGCAACGCTTGTAAGCAAATGTCTGTGTATTGTATGTGTACAATTGAACTGCTGTTGTTATGGATTTTCTAATAGTCCTTTCACAACTGTTGAACAAATATAGTGCATTGACAATGAATGTAGTTAAAGCTAGCAGCCAGCCTAGTACCTACATGACATAATGTATACAAAAAGGCCACTAGTGAACCCAGTGTTTTTTACAGTCTATGAGTGAATCAGTTCTTAGGTTTATTGTACTAAGAGTCATTTATTGATATTGAGTCTATTGCAACTTCTTTTTACTGGCTTCATGGGGGAGTAACTTTACATCAGATTGATCTTAAATTGGTCAGCAATATTGAAAACATTATTATGGGATCATGGATTAACTTCTCCAGCTTAACATTATACAATCGACATTGTGGGTGCTTTTGTAAATTCAATCTGGAGTGCCAGAGTGCGCTCTGGGCGTTTCGTAAATTCAGAGTGTTTTGCTCTCGGAGCGTTCAGAGCGCACAGTGGACGCTCTGGCCAAGGAGTAGGGTTGATCCGAGTGTTCTGACCTCAACGGCAGTCAAGCACCCGAGCTAACTGGCTAACGTTGGCTAGCTTGCTAGCTACTTCCAGACACAAATGAGAGAACAGCTCATTCAGATCATTTTACTCGCCCTTGCAGAGCTGGTTAGGCTGTTTTCATGTTATCCAGAGCGTTGGTGACTGTAACTGTACTGCTGGCAACAATTTTATTACGCTTTTTTGCCGACGTTTACAGACACCGGCCATATTCAACGGGTGTTGAGCGTTCATAAATTAATCAGTTATTCTGCGCTATGGCACACTCAGATGAGAGTGCTCTGAAATCGGAGTAGATGGCAGAGTGAATTTACGAACGCACCCTGTGTTGCTTTGTAGTGTAGAGAGGTGAGCTACATGTTTACATTTCAACAGCTACAGGTTAGGTTTTGGAAGATAAATACGTATTTTTTTCATTAGACACTAATACATACTTTTTTTTTTTTACAACACATAGTATTGTATGAACTCCCCCCCCGTCAGTCATCTAGTCAATACATACCCTCAGTGGCCAGGTTATTAGGTACAGTACCTGTTGTATTAATTTTGGTCTACAGTACCTGTTGGATGTGGGCGTTGTTGGGTCCGTTGATGAACTCCTCCAGCTCAGCCAGACGGTTGGTCTTGGCCAGGGCGAAGATGAGCTCTGTCTCCACATAGGACTCACGGGCCTTTTTACGAGCCATCTGAAGGAACTTCACCAGGTCCTCCCAGTTACCTAACACACACCAGAACAACCATTAGTCAGTTAAGAGAGGCTGGGAGGCTACAGTACCTTGGATCCTGAGGTCAGTCAGTGAGCCGCTGATGATTACAGAAAGTCACCAAAAACAGCTGGACATTTCCCAGACTGTATTCACTGACTTTGGGTGATTTTACCCATTCTAATACCCACCCTGCCACCCCCTATCTCAACAATGGTCTGCCCCACAATCCTTACCACTCTGGTCCGCGGCCTGTACCACCTCCATGTAGGCAGAGGGGTCGTCAGCCTTGATGTAGGAGTCGATGGCCTCCTTGACCAGGCCCTTCTGCAGCTGAGCCTTGGCCAGCTGGCTCCACACGGCCGGCTCGTTGCAACGCTCGGCAAACTCATAGGCCCGGTCCAGGTTCCCAATGTGCTCAATCAGAACCTGGGGAGGAGAGACAACAGGGGAGTCAACATCACACCATGACAGGAAGTCAGACGGTGTGTGTTAATCATGTTGACTAGCTTCTCTTCTCACCACCTTTCCTTTATTAGAGATTTTTTTACCACGTGTTTTTATTTGTTTAGTAATTTCTTGTTGGGGGGCGGGGTTACAGGTACATTATCTATTTACATGTACCTGTAGGCTGCCACTCAAAAGAACAAAAAAGAAACTGAAATACATACAGTTGAAGTAATAATAAATTCAGTATGAACAGGAAAAGTAAACAAAAAAAGAAGCAGACCTCCACCCCAACCTCCCATCCCTTACCCCCAACCTCCCATCCCATCCCATACCCCCAACCTCCCATACCCCCAACCCCACCCTTCCTTTATGACCACTGCTAGGACTGGATAGGAGAAGGGACTGGATAGGTCTCCAGACCTTCAACCAGGTTTATTTTACCAGTCCGATAATTTCAGATCAGTGATACTGAAGGTAATAGAGAGATAGAAAAGGGTGATATGATTACTCCATGGCGTTTGTGGGGGGTTAGGGTTCATCTCTCACCTGCACGGCCGAAGTGTTGACGTCAAACTTCTTGAAGATAGCGAATGCCTCCTCGAAGAGCTCGTTGCTGATGGCGATGTTGGCGATGTCTGGAGCGTCATAATTATCCAAGCGGTTGATGTACTCCATCACACGGGTACGGTCCGCCTTGATGGCTGTCAGGATCAGCAGGTTCTGCAGGTTTCTGGATCAACACACAAACTATCCTCAGCATTGACACACAAAAACACCAAATAATCACGCACCATCCCGGAATTCACCGTAGTGAAGTTCAGCAATTGTATGTGTAAAGTTTACATTTACAGTAAAGTGTGTTGCGATTTTAAAATGTACTTTAAATAAAGTTGGATTTGATTGATTTGGAAAAGTATAACAAAGATGGCGGAAGTGAACGAGAGAGAAGACACACAATGGACAGCCCAGCCTACAGTGAGCACAGGTATCAGAGCGCTAAGAGCTCTGTTACCTGTGTTCACTGAAGACTGAGTTATCCAGTACGATCTTCTCCAGCAGCTCAATGAGTTCGTTGGGCAGGTCTGCAGTCATGAAGGCCTTGACTGTGACTGACACCTCCTCTGGGTCCTGAGTCTCAGACAGGGCGGTCTGCACCACCTGACAGGGAGGGAAAAATAGATTTAGACAGGGTCATGAGGAGATGCATGAACCTCAAACTCCTTTATTGTTTACAGTAGGGTTCGGCTCAATTCCACTCTCAATTGAGTCAATTGAAGAAGTGAACTGAAATTCAATTAATTAACTGAAAAATCCTCATAGAAAATTTAGGGCAATTTACAATTCATAAATTGAACATGAAATCAACCTCAACCCTGGTTCAGAGCTGGCACAGGGGTAACAGAAAGGTGGGGTCCCACCTGGTCGATGAGTGGTCTTCTGAAGGGGTTGGTCTCCAGCAGCACGCTGGCCCACAGGTCCGGGTCCCTGCGACGTACCAGGTAGCGAGACAGACTCTTGAACAGGGAGTTCTCATTGCACACCTGAGAGAAAACAGAGAGAACACAGTTACTCCACCAGGCTATCACCTCACATTCTGAAATAACCTAATATGTAGGCTATTCCCAGTATTGCTGTTTTAAGCAAAGAATGTCGGTTAAAATCATGCATAACAATGTAGAGAATTTCAATTTACATTTATCACAGTGCTTTTTTGTAAAAAATTAAATGATATATGAAACTATTTCCTATAAGAAGAGGAAGAGGAGAAGAAGAATAGGCTACTGACGTTGATGAGTTCCTGGTCACACTGTCCTCTCTCGTAGGCCACGCAGGCCAGGTGGGGGTCCCTCTTCTCGCAGTACTTGCCCACCACACGGCTGTCGTAGTAGGGGTTCTCACGCAGGAAGCGCTCAGGGTTGTTGTTACTGTCGATGTAGATCTTGGCCAGGGCATTGTGGGTAGCGGGCTCCTCACAGCCCTCATGGATACGGGCCTCCAGCCAGGGCAGGAGAAGCTTCAGTCTGAGGAAAAGGAGGGGAGAGAGAAAGAGAGAGAGAGAGATGAGCCTGCTGACTACTAATGATGCAGATAGCACAGCTAGTATATTAAAGACTAAGTTATAGTAAAGACACTGTTGTTCTTGACACCCTGGTGTTTGAAGAGGCTGGGGGCTTGGGGCTGATTCACCAGCTACTATCAACTATATTTATAATAATAATAATAATAATAATAATAATAATAAGCCATTTAACTATATTTCACCCCTCTAACTAGTAGTTATTTTTTGCCATCTGGTGAGAATGGGGTTGCTGTACCTGTTCCTCTTTTCCACCTCGGCCACCAGTTCGTCAGTGGAGAACTGTCCTCTGACCACCAGGATCAGACTCTTAATGACGTCCTCAGAACAGTCCACGTCCAGAAGCCCTCCTATCACCACCGGCAGACGGCTGGGGTTCACCTAATACACACACGTCAATATCCTGTACACACATTCCTGGACACTGCATTTTGAGTGTGGGGGTGTTTTTTGAGTCTGTGCGAACATGACACTAAATATGTATATAGTTTCTGTAGTTAGAAACTTAGAATATCAAGTTTGAAAGTTGGTAGATTTTGTAAACGTAGACAAGTATTGTCTCGTAGATGCTTGCTAGTGTGTGAGTTTGTGTTTGACTTACTTTCTGCACGTAGATCTCAATGTATTTCTGCAGGTTGTTGCGGTACAGGTAGAGGACCAGGTCGTGGACAAAGTCGAAGCGGTCACACACGATGATGAGCGGAAGCTGGTCGGTCAGCTTGGCCTCCTGTCCAATCACAGAGCAGGGGGAGGGGCCAAGGTTAGTTTGACATCATTGTTATGAGACGGTGCACCTGATCACAGCCCACCAATGATCACAGCCAAACCTGACACGCTTTAACCACAGAGAATTCACAGGCTATATAAACTCATCAAAAAAAATAAACGTCCCCTTTTCAGGACCCTGTCTTTCAAAGATAATTCGTAAAAATCAAAATAACTTCACAGATCTTCATTGTAAAGGGTTTAAACACTGTTTCCCATGCTTGTTCAATTAACCATAAACAATTAATGAACATGCACCTGTGGAACGGTCGTTAAGACACTAACAGCTTACAGACGGTCACAGTTATGAAAACTTAGGACACTAAAGAGGACTTTCTACTGACTCTGAAAAACACCAAAAGAAAGATGCCTAAGACAGCGCTACAGGGAGACAGGACGGACAGCTGATCATCCTCGCAGTGGCAGACCATGTGTAGCAACACCTGCACAGGATCGGTACATCCGAACATCACACCTGCAGTACAGGATGGCAACAACAACTGCCCGAGTTACACCAGGAACGCACAATCCCTCCATCAGTGCTCAGACTGTCCGCAATAGGCTGAGAGAGGCTGGACTGAGGGCTTGTAGGCCTGCTGTAAGGCAGGTCCTCACCAGACATCACCGGCAACAACGTCGCCTATGGGCACAAACCCACCGTCGCTGGACCAGACAGGACTGGCAAAAAGTGCTCTTCACTGACGAGTCGTGGTTTTGTCTCACCAGGGGTGATGGTCGGATTCACGTTTATCGTCAAAGGAATGCACGTTACACCGAGGCCTGTACTCTCGAGCGGGATCGATTTGGAGGTGGAGGGTCCGTCATGGTCTGGGGCGGTGTGTCACAGCATCATCGGACTGAGCTTGTTGTCATTGCAGGCAATCTCAACGCTGTGCGTTACAGGGAAGACATCCTCCTCCCTCATGTGGTACCCTTCCTGCAGGCTCATCCTGACATGACCCTCCAGCATGACAATGCCACCAGCCATACTGCTCGTTCTGTGCGTGATTTCCTGCAAGACAGGAATGTCAGTGTTCTGCCATAGCCAGCGAAGAGCCCGGATCTCAATCCCATTGAGCACGTCTGGGACCTGTTGGATCGGAGGGTGAGGGCTAGGGCCATTCTCCACCAGAAATGTCTGGGAACTTGCAGGTGCCTTGGTGGAAGAGTGGGGTAACATCTCACAGCAAGAACTGGCAAATCTGGTGCAGTCCATGCAGCTGGTGGCCACACCAGATACTGACTGTTACTTTTGATTTTGATCCCCCCCTTTGTTCAGGGACACATTATTCAATTTATGTTAGTCACATGTCTATGGAACTTGTTCAGTTTATGTCTCAGTTGTTGAATCTTATAAATATTTACACATGTTAAGTTTGCTGAAAGTAAACGCAGTTGACAGTGAGAGGACGTTTCTTTTTTTGCTGAGTTTATGATCGTAATGGCTAGTGTTGAAGCTTTGAGTGTTTTTTGTTTTTAGTTCCTGTATGTATAGATGTTTTTAAGAAAGCAAAAAAAATAGCAAGCGGTTCAATGTTAAAATCCGAGCTTGAAGTTTGACTAATCTTGTTGGGTTTATACAACCACTAATGTACAATGATAAAATATTAGAATCACTTAAAATGAAATTGGGAAGTTATTTTCCAGTTTAAACGATCCTGCTCGAGTGATTTGAAAATTAGACAATATCATGAAAAATACGTAACTACAACAACAAACGGGAGGCATCACATTTTGAGAGGTTAGAAGATGGTTAAGTACTGAAAACATTTTGTTTACTACGACTGAGTGGACAGAGAAGAAAAGAAAGACAAAAGGAGAGAAACAAGAAAACCCTATTGTAAGGATCAATCACATATGTACACAAACCTAGGTCTCCATCTGCAGGTACTACTGAGGTACTGCCACACACTGCCAGACTAGACTCTCCATACAGTGTGTGTGTGTCATCACTGGGTGACTGCCATCAACACACTACAGGATCTATGGTGCTTCATGACGTCAGTGATCTTCAGATCGGAAAGTCGGAGCTCTAGAAAGACACCTGAGTTTCCGACTTTGAATTCCGAGTTGGATGACCGGTCAAAACTATTTTTCCCAGTCGGAGCTCGTCCCTGCCCCCAGATTTCCCAGTTATAATGAATGCACTGAAGTTGGAAGTCTGAGATTTCCAAATTTAAGAGTTCCCAGTTGTTTTGAACAAGACATAATACCATGGGATTGTTAAACTCTCAGACTTATACTCCTAGGGGCAGCAACCATAAAGACTGGATTTGAAGACATCTAGAGCATGTTGTTGAAAACAATGGCTGCTGCCCAAATAGCACCCTATTCTCTATGTAGTGCACTACTTTTGAGGTCCATTGGCTCCCCCTGTACAGCCTTGGAGACTGATACAGTATGTGCATTTAGTTTCTTAATCTATCCACAGAGGTAAACAAATTCAAATCCACCACCAGTAGAACATATAGCCATGCTTGTGCTGGATAGACTTTCCATACGGATAACAACCTAATTTGACTACAGCTCAGATTACAGCTAGCTATGCACAGTCACAAATACAAAACTAAAGAACACTCACACAACACCTTCTAGCAAGTAGCTCAGCTATCTATCAAACTACGGGTTTTGGACTTGTTTGAACAGACAGACTATAGTGTGGTGCACCCCATCGTGGGTGTATGGTTTTTGGGTACAGCGTAGGGCTGGGCGATATATCAAATTATATATTCATGAGCGTTCTGTCTTTTTGGTCTTGTCTCGCTGTGCACCTTCCCACTCGCACATACGCCAAGCCCCTCCCCCTGCCACTCACAATAAAGACGAAGATTTGTATTTGTAAGATAACGTCTTCCTCTGACAACAAGCAGTTTAACCTCACTATTTGGATTCGAGGGTTGGTCCAACAGAATCGGTTATACGAACACCGAAACCCTTAGACATTGTTTTACTGTAATAAACGAGACCTTAACCTTTCTAACGATACCGTTTTCACGTCTCAACTCCCAAAATGTAGAACAGAGACCCTACTAAAACTAGTGTATCAATGAACATGATTGTTAGTCACGTGTGGCATTGCGGTACAGCTAGCAGCATTTTAGCCACAGACCCATGTGCTAGCTGTCTAGTCGGTTTTATAAATGTGCAATAAGCAATTGGCAACTCGTTCTCATTCTGAGAAATAGTATTGGGGATTTATTATTCTCCTAAATTGATGGGATGACTAACTTAGAAAGAATGCATTCTTGACTGGGCTAATGTAGGCTGTGACACCTGGCAGGCTGTGATTGATGTGAAGAGCTGTTTTAGGGGGTAAAATGAGATAAGGATTGTGTCTTCAAATGCTAGACTATACTAGTTCTTTGTGATCTGTGAGCCTTCCTTGGACGTAGGAATGATGTCTAAGGGAGCTGGCTCTTCTCACTATGATAGGTTGTTATGATAAACTTGTGCCTGGCTGAAGTGTGCAACAAATGGCGCCGAGGAGATGAGACCAACCCCTGAACCAACTGAGTAAAGTTTAAACCACACTCAGTTCTTTACTCTGATTGGCCAGCAGAGAAGTGGGAAACTTTCTCTGTCAGAGTATTTGAGCAACAATCTGAAACAATGGATTTAGTTCTCTGGGGTGTCCTGCGAGGTATCTCAGAGAGCCCGTATATACGAAACATCATATTTACCATTGAAGGTTTTTGCATTAATTAAAATAACTAGTATATCTTAGAAGTCGTGTTGACCTCTTTTGTTCCTAATACCAGATTTGAATTGACGCGACTTTGACAATAGCCTAAGCATCTTCTTATCCAGGTTGGCCACTTGATTTCAATATCTAAACAAAGTGAACAAGCTATGTTGTTCAAACAGTTGGAGAAGGACAGGAGGTTGTATTCATAACAGTTCAACTGTTCTTTCTAACTTGTTAACAAGCAAATAGCTCCAAGTTGGCTACACTTTAAATATAAAGATAAGCTGGCTATTCACTAGCATGTGATCACTAGCATGTGAGCTTGTGCTTGAGAGATTGTTTATGAGACCTGTGTTAATTTTCTATAATGCCTGCTACAAGAAGTTAGTCATTATTAGTGGAGGTGCATTGTTCTGGTTAAAGTTGTAAAAATATACATATATATATTTCATCGACAGACTTGAAAGCCAGATTATTGCAAAAAAGCAGGTTAAACTCTACTTTGATAAAATAATATTATTAGTCGGTTTATGGTTGTGGAAGTCTTATATTTAGCCTAGGTATAATTTTGCATGCAGTTTATTGACCTTTAATTGTGCAACAAAGCTTATTTAGAGAACAAAAATCCAGATACACTACATGGCCAAAAGTATGTGGGCACCCCTTCAAATTAGTGGATTCGGCTACTTCAGCCACACCCGTTGCTGACAGATGTATAATGTCGAGCACACAGCCATGCAATCTCCATAGACAAACATTGACAGTAGAATGGCCCGTACTGAAGAGCTCAGTAACTTTCAACATGGCACCGTCATAGGATGCCACCTTTCCAACAAGTCAGTTCGTCAAATTTCTGCCTTGCTAGGACTGTAAGAGCTGTTATTGTGAAGTGGAAACGTGGAGGAGCAACAACGGCTCAGCCGCGAAGTGGTAGGCCACACAAGCTCACAGAACGGGACCACTGAAGCGCATAAAAATAGTCTGTCCTCGGTTGCAACACTCACTACAGAGTTCCAAACAGCCTCTGGAAGCAACGTCAGCACAATAACTGTTCGTTGGGAGCTTCATGAATTGGTTTCAATGGCCGAGCAACCGCACACAAGCCTAAGATCACCATGCGCAATGCCAAGCGTCGGCTGGAGTGGTGTAAAGCTCGCCACCATTGGACTCTGGAGCAATGGAAACGCGTTCTCTGGAGTGATGAATCACGCTTCACCATCTGTCAGTCCGACGGACGAATCTGGGATTGGTGGATGCCAGGAGAACGCTACCTGCCCCAATGCATAGTGCCAAACTTTAGTTTGTAATACTAGTCTGGGGCCGTTTTTCATGGTTCGGGCTAGGCCCCTTAGTTCCAGTGAAGGGAAATCTTAAAGTTACAGCATACAATGGCATTCTAGACGATTCTGTGCTTCCAACTTTGTAGCAACAGTTTGGGCAAGGCCTTTTCTTGTTTCAGCATGACAATGTGCCCCCGTGCTGCACAAAGCGAGGTCCATACAGAAATGGTTTGTTGAGATTGGTGTGGAAGAACTTGACTGGCCTGCACAGAGCCCTGACCTCAACCCCATCGAACACCTTTGGGATGAATTGGAACGCCGACTGTGAGACAGGCCTAATCACCCAACATCAGTGCCCGACCTCACTAATGCTCGTGGCTGAATGGAAGCAAGTCCACGCAGCAATGTTCCAACATTTAGTGGAAAGCCTTACCAGAAGAGTGAAGACTGTTATAGCAGCAAAGGGGGACCAACTCCATATTAATGCCCATGATTTTGGAATGAGATGTTCAACGAGCAGGTGTCCACATACTTTTGACCATGTAGTGTTTATCGTGAATCGCCCATATGTTTAAAAAATATAATAGAGATATGATTTTTAGGCCATATCGCCCAGACCTAGTACAGCGGCGGGTTGTGTCATTATACTTGTAATACATATCCCAGGTTTAATCAGGGATATGGGAGTCCTGTACTTGGGGATAGATATACCTGGTACATGTCCTGCCATTCCATAGACAACAGGGAAAAGCACAAGAGATAATAACCGCCATCAGTTGATTGAGGAACACTTCTTACCAATGAAAGAAACATTTAAGCGTTTCACAAACGCTAGTGTTAGCAGGTCGATATGCATATTAATAGGATTGACAGAAGTTTTGTAATTTCATTTCAACGTCATTTCTAAATTTTAAGAAAGAGAGAGAGAGAGAGAGAGAGAAAATGAAAGAGTAGAATAAAGTTAAACTTAAGAAAGATCGAAAGAGAAAGAAAAGCAAAACAAAAAGGGAGAGTACATCTTCAGTCAGTTGCATTTCACCTCCCTCTAGATACCTTCTTCCCGTCTCCCTCCCTACCTCCATCTTTTACCTTGAGGAAGTTCTTGACTCGTTCTGGGTCGTAGCAGTTGCTCTCTCTGCAGATCCTCTCCACCTCTTTGATCTGTCCCGTCTTGCAGGCTGCCTGTATGTACTTGAAGTGGACCTCTGCGTCCTGGCTGAAGTTAACGATGGAACCCAGGAAGTAGAACAGACCTGGGACAAAGCATCACCATAGAGACAATGTCAGTCAAGAGGAAATACAGTACCAGAGAACATGTCAGTCACATGTCAGGACATGTTCAATAGTAAAACCATTGCTGGGAAAATAGAACAGTGATTACGATAGGGCAACTACTGCACCCCAAGAGACCGGAGTGGACGGCTACTGTCACCATCTCATTGCCCCTTGTTTGATTAAATGTACATCACACTTCAGGCTATAATAACAAAAACAACATTCTTTGAGAATTAGCTGATGAAGATAAAACACTTGTACTTCTTAGGGACAACGCCATTTGCCAAAATCACAAACACTTTCCACCATGTTTGTTTTGCAAGAGTTATTTGGACAATTGAAAACAGTGGCTTTCTCTCACTTCGTTTATTGCGCTGTAGATCCATTATGATTGGGCACCTCGTCGTCTGTAGTCTACCCTGGGCCTACAGGCCATTCTACTGAGCCCATCAACCATTCTGCTGCCTCTGGCCTACTTAGCTGATTACAGGGCACATGGCTGAAAGAGAGAGTGATCCAACAGGATTCTAGACTAACGTTTTCCACTGGTGGCACCAGCACATGATTTGGTCACACCAATGTTTGACCTGACCTGCGTCCCATAATGTACCTGCATTCCATACAGAACCAGGCTAATAATGACTAGCCATCTTTTAAATTAGCATTCCCTTGCAGGGCTTGACATTCAGGTACATTTGCCAGTCTACAGTTGTCGGGCCCTATAAAATCAGATTGATCTTTTGGTAAATTCCGTTTTCATTTTTCCAGGTTGTAGGTTTTCACTCAAAATCACACTTTATAGATGTTTTTAAATGTTCCACAACAATGCTTAAAACCACATCAGGAGACCACTTCTGAGGTCTGGGAATAATACTTTTAAATTATTTTTATGTGGAGGGTGTAGTTCCCCTTTAATTCAATTGCACACCTAGCAAGAGACCATTGTGTTTGGTTAGCTGTGTTTTTGTACTGTACAATGTATAGTGTAGGCTACATGTGATGGCAGAGTATGCAAAACAAATACCCCGCGATTGATAAAAATCATCATTATATAATTCTGCCAGGTAGACCTACTTTGCAGTCAACATTTAATTATGAAGTTGTTTTGGGAAAGTTTGTGGGTTCATTTCCCACGGGGGGCCAGTATGAAAAAAATAACATTTTATGCACTCACTAACTGTAAGTCGCTCTGGATAAGAGCGACTGCTAAATGACTAAAATGTAAAGCCTTTAAAAAAATAAACATTCAAACAGCACATGATGACTGAATTGCGCATCGCAAAGATTCAACCAAGACTTCAGACCCAACTTTTTGAATACCTGTTTTTCATACCCATTGTTGTTTGAATAAATCTAGATAATTACAAAATAAAAGCAAATTGTGAACCAAAAACGAACGTGACCAGCAAAAAAATGTTTACTGCCACCCTAGCGACCTGTAAAAAAATTGGTCGCACTGCTAAGTCAAAGGGTCACAAATGCAAGTGTTTTGGTCACAATCTCGAACCCTGTCAAAGGGAAGTATAGAATAGTGTGTGTGGCTGTATGACGCACCCTCAAAGCTTTTGAAGGACTCAAAGAGCTCGGTTAGGGAGTTGGTGGAGAGCTGCTCGTGGTACTTGGAGGCCACCTGGACACAGATCTGCAGGTTCTGACGGATGTTGGCAGACAACATGGCCCTCAGGCACTCTAGAGAGTCCTCCACTGAGAGGGAGCCAAAGAAATTCACCAGCCACTAAGGGGAGGAAGAGAGGAGAGAGGAAGGGTGGGAGGGGGGGAGAGAGAGAGAGAGGGAAGGGGGGGGGGGGGAGAGAGAGGAAGGGAGGTTGGGGGAGGAGGAGGGAGGGAGGGAGGGAGGAGAGAGAGGAAGGGAGGCCGGGAGAGGGGGGAGGAAGGGAGGGAGGGGGGAGAGGAAGGGAGGGAGGGGTGGGAGAGGAAGGGAGGGAGGGGGAGAAGAGAGGAGGGAGGGAGGGGGAGAAGAGAGGAAGGGAGGGAGGGGGGGAAGGAGAGGAAGGGAGGGGGGGGGAGGGAAGAGGAGGGGAGAGGCGATGAGAGGGAGGGAGGGAGGGACGAGAGGAAGGGAGGGAAGGGAGGGAGAGAGGAAGGGAGGGGGAGAGGGAGGAAAGGGAGGGAGGAGGAGGGAGGGAGAGAGGAAGGGAGGGAAGGGGAGAGAGGAGGGAGGGAAGGGGAGAGAGAGCGGAGGGGGAGAGAGGAAGGGAGGGACGGGGAGAGAGGAAGGGAGGGACGGGGAGAGAGGAAGGGAGGGAACGGGAGAGAGGAGGGAGGGAGAGAGAGGAAGGGAGGGACGGGAGAGAGGAAGGGAGGGAAGGGGGAGAGAGGAAGGGAGGGACAGGAGAGGGGAGGGAGGAGGAAGGGTGGAGGGACGGAGGAGAGGAGGAGGACGGGAGGGAGAGGGAGGGGAGAGGAGGAGGGAGAGAGAGGAAGGGAGGGACGGGAGAGAGGAAGGAGGGAGGGGAGAGAGGAAGGGAGGGAGGGGGAGAGAGGAAGGAGGGAAGGGGAGGAGAGAGAAGGGAGGGAGGGAGAGAGGAAGGGAGGAAGGGGAGGAGAGGGGAGGGAAGGGAGAGAGGAAGGGAGGGAAGGGGAGAGAGGAAGGGAGGGAGGGGAGAGAGGAAGGGAGGGAGGGAGGAGAGGAAGGGAGGAAGGGGAGGGGAGGAGGAGACGGGAGGGAGGGGGAGAGAGGAGGGAGGGAGGGGAGGGGACGAGGAGGGGGCGGAAGGAGAGGGAGGGAGGGAGGGAAGGAGGAGAGAGGAAGGGAGGGACGGAGAGAGGAAGGGAGGGACGGAGGGAGAGAGAAGGGAGGGACGGAGGGAAGGAAGGAGGGAAGGAGAGAGAGAGAAAGGAGAGGAAGGGAGGGAAGGGAGAGGAAGAGAGGGAGGGGAGAGAGGAAGGGAGGGGAGAGAGAGGAGAGGGAGGGGGAGGAAGAGAGAGAGGGAGGGGAGGGAAGGAGGGACGAGGAGAGGGAGGGGGAGAGAGAGAGGGAGGAGAGGAGGGAGGAGAGAGGAGAGGGAGGGGGGGAGAGAGGGAGGGAGGGGGGGGAGAGAGGGAGGGAGGGGGGGGGGGGAGAGGGAGGGGGGGAAGGGAGAGAGGGGGTGAGAGAGAGGGAGAGAGCAAGAGAAAAGGAGAGTAGGGTCAGAATTAGATAGTGTCATGAAGAAATACATGACAGTCATGTTCATCTAGCTGTGTTAATTGAAACCAATGTGATATGTTTGTTTTTTTACACTAGCTGACACATGAGAGGGGACTGGCCTGAATACTACTGTCATAGGGGGTTTTGAGGAGGGTTCACTAGGGTTTGTTGGATTCATACCTCTGGGTTGAGCAGGTGTGTGTGCACCACGGCCCGCTTGATGTCGTACAGGTCGGTGTAGTGCTCCAGAGCCCTCTGCAGCAGGCCAGCCTTCTCACACAGCTGGGCTATGTGGGCACGGTCGTAGTTGGTGAACATCTGGTTGCCCAGGATGGCATCCGCAACCTACAGAGAAGGATAAGCATGGAACGGTGATAAAGTGTGAATGTCAATTATAGTCACGTTCCCTTTGAGGGCAATTGGATTTTTGATTGTCATATCCTCATCTAAATTTAAGGTGAACCTGTGGGGCGTGCATGAGGTTCATCTCCAGGAGGCGTGTCTGTAGCGGCCCCTCAGAAGGCCTGTTGTTCTTCAGGGCATCCAATAGGAAGGAGGTACACTGCTGGACCAGGTTATACTCCATGAACACATCCACAATCTGAACAGACCGGGACAGAGAGAAACAAAATAACAACTGTCAACACAAGACACAGCCACAGAAATACACTACTTACAATTATGAGTATTTGAAATACTCTTGATTTAGCTTCGAGATTGGAATTTTGGGATTATTTCATTGGTCCGCGCCTTGAGTACACGTCCTGGTAATCCGTCTGGCCCCGCGGCTTTGTAAATGTTGACCTGTTTAAAGGTCTTGCTCACATCGGCTACTGAGAGCGTTATCACACAGTCGTCCAGAACAGCTGGTGCTCTCATGCATGCTTCAGTGTTGCTTGCCTCGAAACTAGCATAAAAGGCATTTAGCTCGTCTGGTAGGCTCGCGTCACTGGGCAGCTCACGGCTGGGTTTCCCTTTGTATTACGTAATAGTTTTCAAGCCCTGCCACATCCGACAAATGTCAGAGCCGGTGTAGTAGGATTCAATCTTAATCCTGTATTGACGCTTTGCCTGTTTGATGGTTCGTCTGAGGGCGTAGCAGGATTTCTTATAAGCGTCCGGATTAGTGTCCCGCTCCTTGAAAGCGGCAGCTCTAGCCTTTAGCGCAATGCAGATGTTGCCTGTAATCCATGGCTTCTGGTTGGGATATGTACGTCTAGAGTTGTTTTTCCTCTGTTTGCACATGTGACATGTTGGTATAAATTAGGTAAAACTGATTTAAGTTTGCCTGCATTAAAGTCCCCGGCCACTAGGCGCGCCACTTCTGGATGAGCATTTCCTCGTTTGCTTATGGCCTTATATCGTTGAGTGCGGTCTTCGTGCCAGCATCGGTTTGTGGTGGTAAATAGACGGCTACGAATAATATAGATGAGAACTCTCTTGGTAGATAGTGTGGTCTACAGCTTATCATGAGGTACTCTACCTCAGGCGAGCAATACCTCGAGACGTCTTTAATATTAGACATCGCGCACCAGCTGTTATTGACAAATAGACACACGTAGCTTCTCTGTCCTGCTGATGCATGGAAAATGCCAGCTCTATATTATCCGTATCGTCGTTCAGCCACGACTCAGTGAAACATAAGATACAGTTTTTAATGTCCCGTTCGTAGGATATTCTTGATCGTAGATCATCCATTTTGTTTTCCAATGATTGCACGTTGGCCAATAGAACGGATGGTAGTGGAGGTTTACTCACTCGCCTACGAATTCTCAGAAGGTAGCCCGACCTCCACCCCCCTTTTCTCTGTCTTTTCTTCACGCAAATGACGGGGATTTGGGCCCGTTCCCGAGAAAACGGGCCCGCGTCAGACTCGTTGAAGAAAAATGATTTGTCCAGTTCGAGGTGAGTAATAGCTGTTCTGATGTCCAGAAGTTATTTTCGGTCATAAGAGACGGTAGCAGCAACATTGACCCGGAAAATATAAAAAACTATCTTGACCCTGATCTCTCTTTTGACGAACATATCAAGACTGTTTCAAGGACAGCTTTTTTCCATCTACGTAACATTGCAAAAATCAGAAATTTTCTGTCCAAAAATGATGCAGAAAAATTAATCCATGCATTTGTTACTTCTAGGTTAGACTACTGCAATGCTCTATTTTCCGGCTACCCGGATAAAGCACTAAATAAACTTCAGTTAGTGCTAAATACGGCTGCTAGAATCCTGACTAGAACCAAGAAATTTGATCATATTACTCCAGTGCTAGCTTCCCTACACTGGCTTCCTGTTAAGGCAAGGGCTGATTTCAAGGTTTTACTGTTAACCTATAAAGCGTTACATGGGCTTGCTCCTACCTATCTTTCCGAGTTGGTCCTGCCGTACATACCAATACGTACGCTACGGTCACAAGACGCAGGCCTCCTAATTGTCCCTAGAATTTCTAAGCAAACAGCGGGAGGCAGGGCTTTCTCCTATAGATCTCCATTTTTATGGAACAGTCTGCCTACCCATGTGAGAGACGCAGACTCAGTCTCAACCTTTAAGTCTTTACTGAAGACTTATCTCTTCAGTAGGTCATATGATTGAGTGTAGTCTGGCCCAGGAGTGTGAAGGTGAACGGAAAGGCTGGAGCAACGAACAGCCCTTGCTGTCTCTGCCAGGCCGGTTCCCCTCTCCACTGGGGTTCTCTGCCTCTAACCCTGTTGCAGGGGCTGAGTCACTGGCTTGCTGGTGCTCTTTCATGCCGTCCCTGGGAGGGGTGCGTCACTTGAGTGGGTTGAGTTACTGACGTGATCTTCCTGTCTGGGTTGGCGCCCCCCCCTTGGTTTGTGCTGTGGTGGAGACCTCTGTGGGCTATACTCGGCCTTGTCTCAGGATTGTAAGTTGGTGGTTGGGGATATCCCTCTAGTGGTGCGGGGGCTGTGCTTTGGCGGAGTGGGTGGGGTTATATCCTTCCTGTTTGGCCCTGTCCGGGGGTTTCTTCGGATGGGGCCACAGTGTCTCCGGACCGCTCCTGTCTCAGCCTCCAGTATTTATGCTGCAGTAGTTTATGTGTCGGGGGGCTGGGGTTAGTTGGTTATACCTGGAGTACTTCTCCTGTCTTATCCAGTGTCCTGTGTGAATTTAAGTATGCTCTCTCTAATTCTCTCGTTCTCTCTTTCTCTCTGAGAACCTGAGCCCTAGGACCATACGTCAGGACTACCGGGCATGATGACACCTTGCTGTCCCCAGTCCGCCTGGCCTTGCTGCTATTCCAGTTTCAACTGTTCTGCCTGCGGCTACGAAACCCCTACCTGTCCCAGACCTGCTGTTTTCAACTCTTAATGATCGGCTATGAAAAGCCAACTGAGAGACCTGAGCCCTAGGACCATACGTCGGGACTACCGGCCGTGGTGACTCCTTGCTGTCCCCAGTCCGCCTGGCCTTGCTGCTATTCCAGTTTCAACTGTTCTGCCTGCGGTTATGGAACCCCTACCTGTCCCAGACCTGCTGTTTTCAAACTCTTAATGATCGGCTATGAAAAGCCAACTGAGATTTATTCCTGATTATTATTTGACCATGCTTGTCACTTATGAACATTTTTGAACATCTTGGCATGGTTCTGTTATAATCTCCACCCGGCACAGCCAGAAGAGGACTGGCCACCCCTCATAGCCTGGTTCCTCTCTAGGTTTCTTCCTAGGTTTTCGCCTTTCTAGGGAGTTTTTCCTAGCCACCGTGCTTCTACACCTGCATTACTAGCTGTTTGGGGTTTTAGGCTGGGTTTCTGTACAGCACTTCGAGATATTAGCTGATGTAAGAAGGGCTATATAAAATAAAATTGATTGATTGATTGAATAAGTTAAAAAATAAGTTACAAACCATGCGAAAAAACTAACAAGATAGCACAGTTGGTTAGGAGCCCATAAAACGGCAGCCACCCCCTCCGGCGCCATTGTATAGTCTAGGGTCTCTTCCCCTCTCCCTCTCTCAAATCATTTCCCTCCTATCTCTCCCTTCCGTCTTCCTCCTTCCCCTCTCCCATCGTTCCCCCAATATCTCCCTCCTCCCACCCTCTCCCTCCCCTCCCCTCCCTCCTTCTCACTCGTCCTCCCTCTCCCCCCCCACTCCCCCCACCAACCTGTGTGATGTCAGCCAGAGGCTCCTCGTCCTGGACCAGCATCTGTGAGAACTGCAGGCCCTGTTCTGGACTGATCCTCATCACGTTCCTCAGCAGGAAGATCCAGTCTGGAGTGTAGCCCACCTACCCACACAGAAAGAGCAAGACAACAGTTACAACCACATTTACCAATGCACCAATCTACTCCTCAACGTACATATTTATAATATGTATTTAGTTTTTTAAACACCCTTTCATTGTCATATCACATACCTTTCAATCATACATCAAGTATCTAGCTAATGAAAGCTAAAGCCCTCTTTCCAACCCCCATTTGGCCCCAATGGAGCCGATCCCATTCTAAAGCCCCTCTCGGGACACTAAGATACAGCTCATCCACTTCCTCAAACATGTCATAAGGAAAGCAAACCAAGGAAACAGGAACATCAACAGAGCTCCATCGCAGAGTGAAAACGTACCTTCTTGGCGTACAGGACTATCTTGGGGAACTGTCCGGTCTCAGCGAAGCACTGGATGACCTTGTTGGGTACGTTGGCCCTCAGGTAGACGGAGAGAGCCAGGGTGGGGTCCACTGACTTCACCAGGTCCCCCAGCTCTTCAGAACACTCCAGCTGAGAAGAGACAAACCGTTAGTTTCACCACAAGTACCCTACAGGTAAAATAACCTACTGAAAACCCCTACAGAAAAGTTTTTTTAAAATAATATTTGGAATATAATGTAATGTTTCAATTGTGTGTGATTTTTAACACATTTAAACATTCACAATTAGTATGAAGCAGAAAACTATGGGGGGAAACATTGAGACAGACAAAGGAGCCGCCCACATTTCCCAGCACTCTCTGAAGGCGGGGAAAAACTCTTCAAATACTCAGCATAACAAACAGTTTGCCTCAAATCGTAGAAAGGACAAACAACTCTGATGATTGGGGAGATATGAACATGGACACACCCCCCCCCCCCCCCCTCAGGAAAGGCCTCTTCCTATGGGAGGTCAGATACCCATCTCTCCCCCTTCTCTCTGAGACAGACACACACACACCTTGTCCTCTTTGAGCCACTTCTCCAGCAGCTGCTTGCGTCCCTGCTGTAGGACGGGCCTGCACAGCTCCAGAGACTCAAACTTGTTGAGCTGGCCCTGGTCCAGCAGGATACCAAAGTACTGCAGCAGGGGAGAGGTCTGGCCTGGCTGGGCTGGCACACTCTGGAACTTACGGATGGTGTCTGGAGTACGCAGGATACCCTGGAGGGGAGAGAGGAGACAGAACAACAAGACATGGGTGGAGGGAGTCAGCTGCAGTTTATATATTCACAGAGCGATACTGCTGATACATGGCTGTGAGAGGGTTTTGCTAGCAACATATTGTACATAGCAACACGTACATGCTGGAGACAAACTATTCAAATGAGAGGAGTTAACGGTTATTTATTCAGAAATGCATTTGCATATCCAAAGTCTCTCGTGATCATGTGAGCTACTATTCACTTTGATATTGTATTGATGTAACATGATATGGACAAACAGAAAGCTGTAGTGGATATCAGAAAGTTTAACTTCCATTTAATTACAGCAATGTGATCAGACAGCCCCTGGAGGGAGACCCTGTACCGTTTATATACAAGTTACCTTTGGTGCATTGGCAGCCACCTTGGCAGCCTCAGAATAGTTTCCCCCGGCAAACAGGTTGTTGAACTTCCGTGCGAACAGCTCCTCGGCCCCAGCTAGGTTGTTACGGACGGCCATGCGCAGGGCCAGGTCTGGGTTCTGGAGCACATTGGTGATGTAGGGGATGATGTTCTCCTCCTCCACACACACTGACAGGACCTGGAGAGAGGACATGGGTGAGAGAGGAGTTTGAAAATCATCCATAAAATACAGACATAGGACCCAATAGACAAGAAACAATGGCTTTGTTCAATTGGGGGGGGGGGGGGGGGGGACCTTCGAGAGTTAGTGCTTTAACCCTTTACACTCGTGGCAATTGGTCTATATAGATAGGGCTAAATTGAAATGTTTCTTACAGAAGAAATATGGAAAGCATATGGGGCTTCCGAGTGGCGCAACGGTCTAAGGCACTGCATCTCAGTGCTAGAGGCGTCACTACAGACCCTGGTTTGATTCCAGGCTGTATCACAATGACCGTGATTGGGAGTCCCATAGGGCGGCGCACAATTGGCCCAGTGTCGTCCGGGTTTGGCCGGTGTAGGCAGTTATTATAAATAAGAATTTGTTCTTCACTGACTTGACTAGCTAAATTATAAAATACGATCTTACAGTGTTAGGCAGATCGTAATTTCGGTGTGCATAGAATGGAGTCATGCATTCAGAGGCGTGGTCCGCGGCAAATTTTCTTCACAATACAACAAACATAGGCTCATTCTGTTCAGGACAACCCAGGGTATAACTCATCTTGTAACTGCAAGTCAAACATTGATCATAAACGTTGACATTGTATTTACATGAGTTATATGATATGGAAATGTGAAGTGCACATTTGGACTCACGGGTGTTTGGCTTACTTGTATGACATCAAAGCGGTATTTATTATAATCCTCAACATATAATCTTTCAAAATACATAGTCTTCGTAATTTACACCATTTCCCTCACTCAGACAACAAAAAATGTTGTGCGAGGTGCTAAAGTTCAGAACGGCTGTCAGTCAAAACCCATACAGAGCTGTGAAGCGCAGAGCCAAAGTTCTGATGTCATGTATAGCATGTTACTGTACAGCCACTGTGTTCCAATTTAGGCGTTTATCAGTGCCCAAATCTGCCATTTTCAACCCGCATACGGGTATGAGTGTAAAGGGGATACATGTAGGTATGCGAGGCTGACAGAAAATTATATTTCAGTTTAAACTAGATTAATTAAATAACATTGCTCTACTGACCCTTTTCTCTTCATCTCAATAGTGTTTACTGAGCTACTTGTTGACAGGGGGGTGTATCTACTATCCAGCTACAATGGTGTCTGTTTTTGTACATGGTTCCCATTGAAGGACATGTAGAGATGCCAGCGTATGCTCCAGATCAGGTTCCTAACATACAGGACGGTAAATGGTAGGACAGAGCCAGAGCTCTGTGTCAGTGTGTAAGGCAATCCCATCCACAAGTAAACAAAGGACACAGCCATGTGTGAAATGGAGAATGAAGAGAGAGAGGGGTGTTCGCTTTCTGCCAGAGAGACGGAGCTAGCTAACCATTTGTTTGTTCGCTCTTTGTACTTTTCCTCCACCAACCCAGATAGGCACCAGCTAGCCAGATTGTTTAAAAAAAATAAAACTCTGGAGGACTAGCGATCAATCAGGTGGGAGAGGAAGGTCAGCGGGGTCAAAGGGGGAAGGTGAGGGCCTGGACTTGGGGTACTACTGGCCCGGACTTAGGGTACTTTATAAATGCATTAGGGTCATGCAGGGCCTAGGTTGACATGCTTAATTATCTATCTATCTATCTATCTATTCAGCTAGTAATAGACTACATTTGGTTATTATGGTATATATAAAAAAAGCTGTGTAATATAATTTAGCAATGTAAGACATTCTATTCTTTAAAATTGCATTTTGCATTAAGAATATATATATATATATATTTTTACATCTCAAAATAGGACATTCACCCATGTCTAAGACTGCTACGTTTCAAAATATATATATATATCGCTCTGGCTACAGAAGGCTAGCCAAAACAAATGGTGGTGGTCCTCTGTAGCTCAGCTGGTAGAGCACGGCGCTTGTAACGCCAAGGTAGTGGGTTCGATCCCCGGGACCACCCATACACAAAAATGTATGCACGCATGACTGTAAGTCGCTTTGGATAAAAGCGTCTGCTAAATGGCATATTATTATTATTATTATTATAAATGCTAGGTGTCTTTTTTGTAGCTTTCTTTTTGCTGACTATCAACACTTTCTCTAAAAGAAATAAGCTCAGTGAGTGGACAAGAGCTTGAAACGGGCCTCTTTGAAATGGCCTTTTCTCCGTCTGTAGTGGCCTATACATACTCTAACTAACAGGCAGCCGATTCAGGGCCTGTCAAAAGCCATCAGCGCCAGTGAGTTAGTGCACTCACGACCATCTATGACTGACACTGCATAGTGCACCATAGACTCAGCTAGCTAAATCACATACTGTATTATGCATGCACATTCAACCACACACTCTTACTTCTAGGAGCTTTGATGGCTGGGATGAAAACAGAATTTAAATGCAGAGGGTAAACAGGGCATATTAGGCTAAACAATATGAACTGTTCTGGGAGCATTGAGCCAGGCCGTGGGTTGGGGCTGATACATTGTAATGATGGTAAATGCATCATTAGTGTGTCAGTATAACATGTGCCTCTGGTGGAAGGTTCTATATGGGGGACTGGAGAGAGGAGAGGGGCCTCACGATAACAAGCCCAGCAGGTCACTGCCCACAGCTGTTAACAGGCATGACTGCACCTCATTCTCCCCTTCACTCAGAGAGGAAGGGTCAGAAAGACCACTCCCCTAATAATATTGTTGGGCTAATAAAGGGCGGGTGGGATGGAGGCAAAGAAAAGAGGAGTAAAATTAGAGCTCTTAGTGGAGATGTGTGTTTGTGTGTGTGTGTTAGGGTTGAATGGCAGGAACCTGGTTACCGAGATTATCGGGATTTACCGCCAAAAAACTCACTTTTTCCCGGGATAAATAACAGAAACCGGTGCACACGCAAGCACCCTCTCGTAGTCTTTCTCTCTCGTAGTCTCTGTCTCTCCATCAACTCCATTCAAATTGCATCTAAAATAGATAATCCTGTTCTAGATTGATATATATCCCTAGCCTACCTCTTTCAGGTAATACATTCAATGCAGTATTAGCCTTATATTTAGCTAATTAATGATGGGTTATGCATAATAAGCTTCTAACTTATAGCCTCTGTCTCTTGCGCAATACGCACCCACCTGTGCTCCTTAGCTCTTGGGAGTCCCATGCAGGAAAAGCTAGACTAGAATAGCTTGCTGGACATAGTTTATTGGTATAAGAAATACTAAAAAAATTATCAGAAGAGGGACGCAAGCTCTTGTTTGCTGAATGTTAAATACAGCAGCCAATAGAACTAACGGATAGTTTGAAAGAGCGAACGCACGATGGTGGTAGGCTATAGCAGTTATTTATTCAGACCCATAACCTTTCAATCTTCGTGAAGAGAAGATGCCTTCTGCATCTAATACTAGTCCTATATTATTCAAGGATGTCATTAGAATGATGAAGATAAGGACAATGAAACATTTCATTTAACTGTTGAATGCGAGGAAGGAATGAAACTACAATAGAGAGAGAAAGAGGAGGTAGGCTAATAACAATAGGGGAAATATTATGAACGATATATATGTGTCAGCCTACTAATTATACAAATAGGCCCTATAATATTTCAAACTTAAATCAAATTTGCTAGCCTATACTTGTAACTTTGTAGGCCGCATGTGCTGCACCAGAATCGCATGTTCTCCCTGCTTTATCGTGGTTTGAACGATGTGCGTAATTCCAGTCCATATAATACAGTATAATACAATATCGTACAGTAATACAGTTCACACTCAAAAAGATTAGCCTACTGGAGCTTGTTTCAGTTTTTTACCCAAGAGAGCATATAGCTAGCCACATCTATGGGCTTTTATGTTTTTCTGTCGTTAGTAATGTACAGTAGCCTATATCATATATGTATTGGATAACCGCACAATCATTTGGGCTTGGGCTCATTAAATGTATTTAATATATGGCTCAGGTAGCATCAGCCTTGAACTTTGGATCAAAGATCTAATCAAATCCAAAACATAAGCCTATTTATATGCTTGATAATGCTTTTCAATGACACTTCTGGTGTTACCCGGGAGAAAAGTTATTTACTCTCGGGATGGAACATTTGTAAAATACCGGGAGAATATTCAACCCTAGTGTGTGTGTGTGTGTGTGTGTGTGTGTGTGTGTAGAGGGGGATGTATTGACGTCAGTAGTAGCTAGAGGCAGAGAGAGGGATGAGCTGTGAGTCAAACCTTAGTGACTACAGAGAGCGGTGACATTATCAACTGTCAACACAACTGGTTCTGACAAAGTGAAAGTCATCACATCTCCCCCTCTCTTTTCTCTCTCCCCCTCTTTTTTTTCTCCCTCTAATTACTGCAGAGTAGCTCTGTGCTGCAGTTTTTTTTTGCAGGGATTCCTCCATCCCAAGGTCAGTCAGTGCCTGTGTTACTGTGTTCCTGTGCCTGGCTGCAGACGCAGCATCTTGGACCCTGGCTCTTCCTCCTGACACACACACACACACACACACTGGGAGAAAAGGAGAGGCGAGCCCAGCCCCACAGCTCTCTGTGTGGGACAGTGATGGAGAAGACAGACACTGTAGGACCTGCTTAGCCAGCAGGCATCCCTATTACCAAGGCATTATGCTTTTAAGCTATCCCAATTCATTCCAACTAATGAGCAGTCAAACCACACACACACACGACTACTGTGCCCTCGCATTCCAACTCCTGCAAGCTTGGCTACATCTTCTACAGCCAAAGGGAAGCAAATTAATCTTGCTGAGTTAGCGGGTGGGGCATACGTCTGGAAATCTACATTATATAAAAAAGAAAGTATATTTTTTTGCAGTGGTGGCCACGATTCTGCGATTTAAATGCATATAGGGGAAATATGTACTGCATAGAAGCCCCAGCCTGCCAGTGTCTCTATGACATTATCATCCATACAAACTACAGCCGGTGTCTCTGTGCTCACTGCTCTATAGAAACCCCAGCCAGTGTCTATCTGTGTGCTCTATGCGCCAGCAATGCAGGTCTGACAGCGTGTGTCTCAGATCAGCTTTCACTCCTCCACTTAATAATGCATGTGGTCTGTGGCCTGGCTGGAACATTATTCATCAGTTAGATGGATCCTGGTATCCTGCTGTAATGCCTTCACAGTGGAGGTGTGTGTGTGTGTGTGTGTTGGAGGGGGGATGGATCTCTCTCTGGTTCACCTGTGAAACCCAACAACCTTTGATTATTTATAACGAACGGACACCTCATCGCTTAGATTGAGAGACTGAGTCCTCTGACAACGGCGACGACAGGCCGGGATAATTGTTAATCCCGTTCGCTCAACTCCAGCTCTTCTTATCATCTATCCACCTCCCTGTGCTGCTTACCCCTGAACATATGGTAGGATATAAAAGAGGGTGGGATTATTAATGGTTGTCTTGTTGGGTCTTAGATGTGGTGGTGGTGGGTATTATATAGGGTGCTGCTTGGGTAATCAGCTCACGGTGGCATGTATTCTAGACCCAGCCTCCTCCTCCTCTGTTGTCCCTAGAGAGAGGCTGTATAATGTAGGGATGTATAATGCAGCAATATTGAACCAGCGGTGGCATAGTAATGAGGAGGAACACACAGGGCTGGTTTACAGTGGAGCACATCAATAGTTACAACGCTAGGATTACAACTAGCTTCATCGAGCTGAATGGATTACACTGTACTGTGCACTACAACTTGTTACATACAAAAGAGGGGGTGTAAAATAATCAACACATTTGTGGTGGATGAGGGGAGTTCTCTTTACATTGTAAAATGCTGTGAGCGTCAGAAAAATCTATCAATCAATCAGGCCATATTTCTGTTATTTCTGTCTTTCCAAGAACGTGGTGATAGAGAAGGTGGGGATAAACGAGGTTGGTATAGAGGAGGGTGGGAGAGGTGGTATCTGTACCTGTCCTTTCCTGTTGACCCCGATGATCCCAGCGGTGGCTTCGTGTTGGGCCGTGACAAAGATGGTCTCCCCGCTGATCCTGTTCATGTAGATGCAGGTGCCAGTCTCCAGGTCGTACAGGTGGATGTAGCCATATTTGGTGATGAGGAACACCACATCCTGCTTGGAGCTTATCTGAGAGGAAAAAGGCAGATTTTTTTTTGAGAAACCAAATGTGTAAAGTGTAACATATGTAAAAGCAGAGTACTCTAAGGTTGAAAAAAAAAATCCCTTCAAGGGCAGTACAGATGTCTTTCGTTCATTCATTTATTGAATTTAATTCATGAATATCCCTTTGAGCATGGTTTAGTTATTCATTACACTTTGGATGGTGTATCAATAAACCCAGTCACTACAAAGATAGAGGCGTCCTTCCTAACTCAGTTGCCGGAGAGGGAGGAAACCGCTCATGGATTTCACCAGTTACAGCGTTTAATGGCTGTGATAGGCGAAAACTGAGGATGGATCAACAACATTGTATTTACTCCACAATACTAACCTAATTGACAGAGTGAAAAGAAGGAAGCCTGTACAGAATACAAATATTCCAAAACATGCATCCTGTTTGCAACAAGGCACTAAAGTAATAATAATAATATTAATAATATGCCATTTAGCAGAGGCTTTTATCCAAAGCGACTTACAGTCATGTGTGCATACATTTTTATGTACCCTGGCATTACAAGCACCATGCTCTACCAATTGAGCTACAGAGGACCAGCTAAAAATGTGGCAAAGCAATTCACTTTTTGTCCTGAATACAAAGTGTGTTTGGGGAAAATCCAATAAAACACATTATTGAGTACCACTCTCCATATTTTCAAGCATAGTGATGGCTGCATCATGTTATGGGTATGCTTGTAGTCATTAAGGACTGGGGAGTTTTTCAGGATAAAAAAGAAATGGAATGGAGCTAAGCACAGGCTGGTTCAGTCTGCTTTCCAACAGACACTTGGAGATGAAATCACCTTTCAGTACGATAATAACCTAAAACACAAGGCCATATCTTGCTTACCAAGAAGACAGTGAATGTTCCTGAGTGGCCGAGTGACAGTTTCGACTTAAATCTGCTTGAAAATCTATGGCAAGACCTGAAAATGTTTGTCTAGCAATGATAAATAATAATGGGCAAATATTGTATAATCCAGGTGTGCAAAGCTCTTAGAGACTTTCCCAGAAAGACTCACAGCTGTAATCACTGCCAAAAGTGATTCTAACATGTATTGAATACTTATGTAAATGAGATATTTCTGTATTTTATTTTCAATAAATTAGCCAAAATGTCTAAAAACATGTTTTCACTGTCATTATGGGGTATTGTGTGTAGATGGGCGAGATTTTTTAAAAATGTAATACATTTTTAATTCAGGTTGTAACAACAAAATGTGGAATACGTCAAGGGGTATGAATACGTTCTGAAGGCACTGTATGTGCTGTGCCACAAGGTCAGGGTGTCCTTGGCTAACAGTGGCTATCAGTGTTTAGTACAGTCCACAGCTACCTACTAGGCTTCCCTTGGCTAACACTAATAACCTTCTCACATTACTTCGCTGACACGAACCGTACTACTTTTCTTTTCATATTGGCCTTTCCAGCATGTAATTATGGTGGATCCACGCCAGCACAGTACAGCTTGTCTTGGCTCAGTAGTGTGAAAGGGGTATAAGAGTGATAAGTACAGTACAGTCCATAGTTATTAGCTATTACGTACCTGCATGGCCACAGGGAAGTCGTTCTGAGCCTCTGGAGGGAAGAACACGTCCACTGCTTTCTTTGGAAAAGGCTGGTTCCCTGTGGGTGGGGTGCCCACCTCAATGATGTGCAACTACAATAGAGATGATCATTAGAGAACAACGTCATTTACAGTCATCTACAATGACGTGCTTAGCCAGCGGGCAAAACTGGCTGCAATGACATCAACACAACCAGATTTTAACCTGTTAGTTTTAATCTGGTTATAATTATGTCATTTCAACCAGCTTTGCTAGCTGAGTATTGTCAAGTGAAAATGAAAAACATCTCCACCAACCAACCCCAATATCCAATAACCCCCCTCCCCTCAGTACCCCAGTCCTTTGTCCTACCTTTCCTCCGGCCTGTCCTCTCACAGCAAAGCAGAACAGTGTGGACTCCTCTGTGTTGCCCTCCATTTTGAACTGGGCGAAGCCGGCGGCGTGGCCCTCGATGGGCTGTGACACCTTCCTGTCCACAGAGTACAACTGCATGGCGCCCACCACACGGTTTTGCTGCAACAGAGAAAAAACATGTTCATTATGTTCATTACAGGGCAATGGCAACATTCTCTGCTACAACGATGAGTCAAGTTTGATAGTGCATAGCTAGGTATATGTGTGTGAGATTAGGTATATTCACTGTCATTGAGTTAGTGTGTGTGTGTGTATGTGTGTGGGTGTGTGTGTGTGTGTCTAAGACTGTAACCTGTGCGGAGATGCCGATGAGCAGTAGCCATTTCTGCTTGGCGTCAGTGCGGTAGTTGATGATTTGACAGCCCGCCAGGCTGGAGTGCCGGTCAAAGACTTTGATTGGCTGGGAGTCCCCCTCCATGCTCCAATGGTAGACGGCATTGTCGGTCACAAGTGCCACTGTGTTGAGGGAGATCCACTTCCAGAAGGTGACGTCGTCCGTCATGGTGTGAGCCTTCATCTTGCTCTTCATCTCAATGTTAAAGATCTGAAGGGTTTTGGCGGCTGAGAGGGGCAGAGGGAGCAGAGAGAGGCATCGCATGGGAGAACAACTCGTTATGGCTACTCTGAGAAGTCAGCAAACACACTCACACACAGGTCAGTCATAGAGAGCCACAAACACACGTCGGACTAAGGGAAATGTGAAGTAAATACCAAATTCCACTTGAGTAATGAGAGTCAAGCTTGAAATGATGGTAGTCATGGCCCAAAGAGAGCATCAGGCAAGAAGGACACCATGACGCAGCAGTCAGAGATTAAGCAAAGAAATTAAAAACAGACAACCACTAAAATCTTACATATCAGCATCCAGGTCAATTATAAGAGACAAAGGGAGAAGGACTAATACTTAGACAGTATTAGAGGGAGAGGAAAGATATGTTGCACAGTGGTTGGGGACTGACTAGAAAAGGACACCCCTATAAAAGTAATGGAAAAGAGGGGTTTTCAATATTGATTGATTAAGACTGTGCCATTGTACATTGTTAGATGTTATTTTACATTGTTAATATACACTGAGTATACAAAACATTAAGAGCACCTGTTCTTTCCATCATCTAGACTGACCAGGTGAATCCAGGTGAAAGCGATTATTTCTTATTGATGTCACTTGTTAAATCCACTTCAAATCAGTGTAGATGAAGGGGAGGAGACAGGTTAAAGAAGGATTTTAAGCCTCGAGACAATTGAGACATGGATTGTGTATGTGTGCCATTCAGACGTTGAATGGGCAAGACAAAAGATTTAAGTGCCTTGGAACGGGGTATGGTAGTAGGTGCCAGGCGCAATGGTTTGTGTCAAGAACTGCAACGCTGCTGGGTTTTTCACGCTCAAAAGTTTCCAGTGTGTATCAAGAATGGTCCATCATCCCAAGGACATCCAGCCAACTTGACAACTGTGGGAAGCATTGGAGTCAACATGGGCCAGCATCCCTGTGGAATGCTTTCGACACCTTGTAGAGTCCATGCCCTGACGAATTGAGGCCGTTCTGAGGGCAAACTGTGTGTGCGGGGGGTCAACTCAATATTAGGAAGGTGTTCCTAATGTTTGGTATACTCCGTGTATCAATGATGAATAGGTTAGAAAAGGTTACTCACCTGTGTTTTGTTTGATTAGTTTTGGGTGAATTAACGTAATTAAATAGGTAAGTTAAAGCCTTATTAAGAAGCATTAATTAATATATTCCCTGTTAATTTTATCGAAAGTTAATTGTAAATCACAGAAAGCAATTCACTTACAAAGCATCGGCAGCCACATTTAAAGTGTAAACAAAATCAACAAAGTGAGTTTTGATTTGACCATATTAAGCAATTGGAGGTGCACGTGAGAATCTGCATGGTACATGTTGTGTATTCTGCTTCTCACATCCCCCAGGGTCACTAAACCATCACCTGATAGATTTAGTACAGTGGTAAAGAGGGAGGGCAGGCCCTGTCTGAATGCAGATTAGGGAAGAGTAAGAAGAGATGGTAGATAGCTATGCTACTATGCTAGAAGATCACGGCCCTGCGTTTCCCACTACATAGTTCTACAACCTGTAATTCCATCCTACAGTACAACATAGATGATTGGGAATGAGACTCCAAATAATGGCAAATCATGACTGCTAATCCAGTATAATCTCACAACTGCTTTCTGCTTCAAAACGAGAGTATCATTTATTGGCACAGTTTATAGCATTTGCGTGTTTTTACCATCTTAGGCACTGAAAGTCCCTTTTCTCACATTTGCCACTCAACTTGTGTCCTTTGGTCATATGTTTGTGAATGAAGAGTGGGCTCCAAAACTAAATTGCAGGCAAGTCAAGATTGCATGTAACAGTAATACTATTTGGTTATTGTTGACTATATCTACTCCTGAAATCAGTATTAGGCCTATTGGCTGTAGCCACATAGACCGATAATGAGTCCCTCCTCCAAACATTGTGTAATCACACAACCATCCTACCCTCACAGGTATAAATTATAAATAGCATACAAGTGGACGACTGGCCCTTCGGTACTGTGCTATTTCAGAAATATTAGTTATTCACTCAGTTGCTAGAAATGAGCCTTTCAGATATATTACTGGTTGCTGAAACCAGGCAGTCAGGGAAAACGCAGGGTCACAATACAAAGAAGGGGAGAGAGGAAGCTAGGAGGACAGGAGGACACACCGAGCACTACTGTCACATGGATGGGGTCTGTGTCAGTCTGTCTGAATGGAATCCCAGGAAATATGTAAAAACCAGGAGGTTTGTTTAAGTGGTTTGGGCCTGTGTAAATTACATTAGGATTGGTGGCGGGGATGGGGGTGGAGAGGGGCAGTGTTGGACCTACAGGGAGGAGGACGACTCTAATTAAATCTACTGGTTTAAACCAATCAAAGGGTATTTTACTTTAACGACCAATCAATTGGTGGCTAATCTGATTTTCAGCCCTCTGGGCCATGGTAACTCGTCAAAGGGCCCTATTCATCATCTCTATACTCCTTCTGGTCTGAAATATACACTTGCTACATCCACTCCATCATCTGATAGGGTAGAATATCAGAGGAAGACTCACTGGATATGTATATAATCTAATCTGAGCAGAGCTACCATCAGAATACGGGCACTGATTCAATCAATATCATCACCCAGGCCACGTTCACTGCCTCTAACAGAGGGAGGAGCAAGGATCTACAGCGATAGTTAGCTAGCTATGAGGGAATTCTAAATCTCTCAATAAAAGAAACAGATTACATCATGAGTAACCTAGCCCATGTCTACTTACTGCTTTACTCCCAACTAATGTGGTCTCGTTTCAGGATAATATATAACCTAAACTTAGAGCCATGATAAAACTACATAGCTCTTATGACAAAGGTAGTGATCCCTATTGGATCCCATGGGTTTTGGCAACGTTACATTCAAACACAGAGGAACTGGGGAGGGAATCGAAATGGCAAGCAACAAATTTGTGTCAACCCACAATATTTCCACCCCCAAACAGATACTAAATCATTGGTACATCTAAGAAACCATATTGATGTAATGCCAACATTCAAGCTAGAAGGTTGTGAAAGATAAATCCTGTTTAGATTGGCCTAATAGTTAGATAATAGCTTAAACATAGGTGCATGAAATATAGCATGTATGAAAAAATATATGTGAATGGATTTTGGTAATGTAAAAATAAAAGTTCTGATTCCATAATAAAACTCCTGCCACTGTATTTTGACAAAATGATGTCCATCTGTGTGCATAGACATGTTTTGGAATAGAGTACAAGTGGGACTGGAACAGTGGGAGTCAGTCTCAAGCTGGATGATAACATGGTGATGATGTGTCTAATATGAAAGGAGAGACTGGAGTGAGTGTGAGAGTGTGTGCGTATGCTTGTGTGTGTTTCTAGTGACCCTAGTATCAGAATTGAACAAAGTCTTATGGTTGTTTTTTTAATGCTGATTTAAAAACAGGATTTAAAACTTCCACAACTCAGTTGTACTGAAATTTTAACTCACCGTCTGCATACACATAAGAAAGCCGAAAAAATAATAAAAAAGAACAAACAAAACAGAGAAACAAAAACAAAACATAAACAGACAAAGCAATTATGGCTGCTGAACAAGACTATCAATGTACACTACTGTTGGGTCATAGGTCAGTAAGACTAATGTCTGGGCCAATCAAAAATACTTTACAAAACTAAATAGAAATAGCTGTATGTATGTGGACATAAACAGATGTTTACTTCAACACTGTATGGACATTGGATGTTGACAAAAATCTGCTGGCTACAACACAAACATGTCAAAACTGAATCATGAAGGCAGGCCCATTAAGGGTTAAATGCTGCTGTACTATATCAATAAAAACATCAACACAAGTGTACAAAATGGTAGGCCTGTTTTACATAGGATAACTTGATAATTCCAATTGTTTCCCAGGTTTTTAACCTCTTAAAGGGATTTTATCCTGGTTAAATTAAGTCTAAATGAAATTCAGACTGTCAGTTTTAACTGGCTTACCTTTAAGTGCGATGACTTTGGAAGCAGGGTTCATGATGGCGCTGTCTGCAGAGATAGGCCTGCGGATGGGCGTGTTGGGGTCGGCCATGTCGATGATCACCACCTGCGCTTGCTCGCCCACCTTCTCTCGGATACAGATGAACTTATCAGACTCCATCGTCAGAGTGCTGAACCCGATGTTGGCCGGGTTGATCCCTAAGTTTTGGAGCTGGGGGGGACGAGGACAACGTTAGGAGCTATTCAGCTTTCAATTACCTGGGTAGTAGGAGAATATAAACCAGCTGGAATGACAGGAATACCTTTTGAGTGTGTGTGTTTGTGTGTGTGTGTGTATGCATGTACAGTGCATTCAGACCTTCAATTTTCCACATTTTGTTACGTTACAGCCTTATTCTAAAATTGATTAAATACAACATTTCCCTCATTAATCTACACACAATACCGAATAATGACAAAGCGAAAACAGGTTTAGAAGTTTTTGCTAATTTATTAAAAATAAAAACGGAAATACCTTATTTACATAAGTATTCAGACCATTTGCTATGAGACTCGAAATTGAGCTCAGGTGCATCCCATTTCCATTGATCATCCTTGAGATGTTTCTACAACTTGATTGGAGTCCACCTGTGGTAAATTCAATTGATGGACATGATTTGGAAAGGCACACACCTGTCTATATAAAAAAGGTCCCACAGTTGACAGTGCATGTCAGAGCAAAAACCAAGCCATGAAGTTGAAGGAATTGTCCGTAGAGCTCAGAGACAGGATTGTGTCGAGGCACAGATCTGGGGAAGGGTACCAAAACATTTCTACAGCATTGAAGGTCCCCAAGAACACAGTGGCCTCCATCATTCTTAAATGGAAGAAGTTTGGAACCACCAAGACTCTTCCTAGATCTGGCCGCCCGGCCAAACCGAACATTCGGGTGAGAAGGGCCTTGGTTAGGGAGGCGACCAAGAACCTGATGGTCACTCTGACAGAGCTCCTCTGTGGAGATGGGAGAACCTTCCAGAAGGACAACCATCTCTGCAGCACTCCACCAAAGGAAAGGAGGAAACCAGGCACCTGAAAGTAGCTGTGCAGCGACGCTCCCCATCCAACCTGACAGAGCTTGAGAGGATCTGCAGAGAAGAATGGAAGAAACTCCCCATGTACAGGTGTGCCAAGATTGTAGCGTCATACCCCAGAAGACTCTACGCTTTAATTGATGCCAAAGATGCTTCAACAAAGTACTGAGTAAAGGGTCTGAATACTTATGTAAGTGTGATATTTACATTTTTTATTTGTAATACATTTGCTAAAATTGATAAAAACCTGTTTTTGCTTTGTCATTATGGGGTATTGTGTGTACAGTCGGTCAAAAGTTTTGAGAATGACAAGTATTGGTCTTCACAAAGTTCGCTGCTTCAGTGTTATGAGATATTTTTGTCAGACGTTACTACGGTATACTGAAGTATAATTACAAGCATTCCATAAGTGTCAAAGGCTTTTATTGACAATTACATTAAGTTTATGCAAAGAGTCAATATTAGCAGTGTTGACACTTATTTTTCAAGACCTCTGCAATCCGCCCTGGCATGCTGTCAATTAACTTCTGGGCCACATCCTAACTGATGGCAGCCCATTCTTGCATAATCAATGCTTGGAGTTTGTCAGAATTTGTGGGTTTTTGTTGGTCCATCCGCCTCTTGAGGATCGACCACAAGTTCTCAATGGGATTAAGGTCTGGGGAGTTTCCTGGCCATGGACCCAAAATGTCGATGTTTTGTTCCCCGAGCCACTTATTTTTCACTTTTGCCTTATGGCAATGTGCTCCATCATGCTGGAAAAGGCATTGGTCGTCACCAAACTGTTCTTGGATGGTTGGGAGAAGTTGCTCTCGGAGGATGTGTTGGTACCATTCTTAATTCATGGCTGTTACTAGCAGCAATATCTTTGTCTGTGAAGCCCTTTTTGTGCAAAGCAATTATGACGGCACATGTTTCCTTGCAGGTAACTATGGTTAACAGAGGAAGAACAATGATTTCAAGCACCACCCTCCTTTTAAAGCTTCCAGTCTGTTATTCTAACTCAATCAGCATGACAGAGTGATCTCCAGCCATGTCCTCGTCAAAACTCTCACCTGTGTTGACGAGAGAATCACTGACATGAAGGCAGCGGGTCCTTTTGTGGCAGGGTTGAAATGCATTGGAAATGTTTTTGGGGGATTAAGTTCATTTTCAAGGCAAAGAGGGACTTTGCAATTAATTGCAATTCATCTGATCGCTCTTCATGACATTCTGGAGTATATGCAAATTGCCATCATCAAAACTGAGGCAGCAGACTTTGTGAAAATTAGTATTTGTGTCATTCTCAAAACTTTTGACCACAACTGTAGATTGATGAGGGAAAAAACAATTTAATCAATTTTAGAATAAGGCTGTAACGTAACAAAATGAGGAAGTGTCAAGGGGTCTGAATACTTTCCGAATGCACTGTATAATAAATCAATCAATCACACCATTGTAGGCCTCTCTCACACAGGCACACTGCATTTCTAGAAACATCAACATTTTCATTGGACTCAACTGTCAATTGGTGCCAGACTGACTGGCTATGAAGTGGGAAGAGAACATAGGGAAAGGGCATATTCAAGCAGAAGGCTATTTAGAAATACTTTGAAGACATTCGTCAAAGGGTCTTCACTCTTCTACATGTTGCAGCTTAGTTAACTTGATGGTAATAAGCTTGACAACAGTATCTGCAGGTTGTGTGGTTATCTGCAGTTGCAGCACATGGGATGGATGAATGGCCTTTGTGGCTAAACAACAAGTGTTATGCCAGGGGTTTAATATCAGGTCAGCTGCACACAGTACTTAAAAGGGGTGTGGTGGTGCTGTGCTGCTGTGACTGAGTGACTGGTGATGTCATTGAGCCTGACACTGAGCAGCACCCCAACAGAGAGATGATCAGAACAGAGCAGAGCTGCATGGTCTCTTGGGGACTGGGCGGGGGACCAGGGTAGGGAGGGGTGATGGGAAGTGATCCTTGCCCAACGTTTCATTTGGCAGCATTTCACCATTTAGTAACTCTGTTGAAAAAACATCTCTGGACCCTTTTTCAATGTGGACTCCAAAGTCCTGTTCACAACCTCATACTACATTTGGCTCAGCTCATAGTAATGGTCTGACAATACCAATTAGAACTCCAACTAGTAATCATGTGCTGAACATTTTAGGTGTGCCAGCCAAACAAGAATGTCTGATGATGACGAGGCATTGTGGTGATGCCAAAACACCCCATTCCTGGGGCTCTTTGAATAGCTGGTCCAGAAAGCTCCTGCAGGGGAACATAGGTGCTCTCAGGGCAGGTATAGCTTGAGTTGAGTACAAGTCCTGCTCAGATCTGTTGTTGAACTCACTGCTGACAACATGACAGAGACTGTCTGTCTGTCTGTCTGTCTGTCAGCCTGCATGAGGAGGAACAACGAGTTAACCTGTTTTCCAATAACAAAGACCTGTGGGAGGCCAGATCACCAACATCACACCAGCTGCCTCTCAAGCACCACTCTACGGTCACCCTGTCTGTCTGCCAGGCCTGGCTGGCATAACACCTACAGACCATACTCACACATAGAAACCCTGACACAGCAACAACCTGCCATCTGCAGGGTAGCAGCGGGAGGTGTTGCTGCATACTGTGCCCATGGGCCTATCTAACATTGATCTATCACTATCCATGGCTACATTTGGTGAACCTTTATTTCTAGGACAAGTTGAGCATGTTTTTCTCAACATTGTTTTACTTTCTCACCTTATTCTACTTCTGTAGTAATGTGGGAGTGTACATGTGTATATTGAACTGGGACTGCAAGGCATGTGTCAGTTTGTGATTCTGATAGTGTAGTAGTAGCCTACAACCTGCAGGTATTTGTCTAGGTTGAGGCTCATTGATTATGCGGGCCATGGAGCTCCTTCTCCCTCCAGGGCTATTAGGGGCTGAGAGAGAATCCTCCATCTATCTATCCATCTAGCTGTTCAGACTTGAAATGCAGCCAAAACCAACTTTGCTTTCAGATCACATACCAGACACTGAGGGGAGTTTAATTTAAACTGAATGGAAAAAAACAGGGAGCTCTCCATCAAGATACACACACACACACACACACACACACACACACACACACACACACACACACACACACACACACACACACACACACACACACACACACACACAGGGCTGGAGGTGCCACCTCCGCGCCTGCAGCTGGTATGGTAACTGACAGGAATAGAATCTGACAGAGAGAGGGGCAGGGGGAGGCGTTATGTAATTGTTACTCCAAGCAGTACACATCTCTGATTCAGAACTATTCTGTACACAGCTGTTTGGCACAACCCCCCATGGCTCACCACAACTACTCACAGACATTTCATTTTTACATCATATCAGATGACAGCTTCATTATTTTCTTAAAATAATTCTTTATTAAACAAAAGGCCAAACAACATACAATTTGGGAATGTAAGCAAAGGATTTTATTCCTCCCCACAAAGCAAATCAGGCCTTTTACCACTGGAATTCCCCTAGCTAATGCCCTGGAGTGCATATGAAGCACAAACATGGAGACCTAGCCTATTCAAATCAAAACCAGTAGCCGGGTTTATGGGTTACTGGTAAAAATACCTTATATTTTTTTATTAATGTTGCCTAATGAACAAAACAATGTAGCCTAGACCTGACAATTTGAAATAATTCAAACGTACTCTCTTGCTGCACACAGGTCAAATGTTAATTTGTTGTTTAAATATCCAGGTAACACAGATACCAGTTTTGACTGAATGAAGCCTGAGGGCATAGCTAAACAAGAGAAAGCACAAGGGTCAATACCCCACCCCTGGCCTAGCTCACTGGTAATGGGCTAACATAAACCACAGGACCTGAACCTTTATCAATGGTGAGACTCCACAACCACACCAGGCAGGCACCGCATTCTTTCACTCATGTGTAGCCTCAGTTCTTCCTTTTCAATTACATATCTACCCTACACACAGACAAAGTCCCTTGATGAAGACAAAAGTCATGGAAGTAGACTCAAAAGTTGTGTAAAAGCAGAGGAAGACAGGGGCCCAACTCACCAAAAACACTCCCTCCAGCATGTGGCATTTTATCCTTGTTTCGCCCACCAAGCAAGGAGCTTTTGAATGGAAGTTAATGAGTGTCGAATTTGGTCAACAAAAAATATGTATGGCTTATTTGTTACGTGAAGTTTATTTGATCTAATAGAAGTTTTGTAATGCTTAAGTTGTTACAAGTGTACTGATATAAGTAGGACGTGAGATCCTGGCAACTTTGATAAAAAAACACTTTATATTGGAGTCATCTCGAGATGGCTCTGCATATTCATGGTATGAGGCTAGTAGCATTGAATACAGGCGGTTGACGTCAACAACCCTCATCGAATATTCAAAAAAGGCTTACAATAATGTATCCACCAATCCAAAGAAAGGAGCTAGATAGCCAGCCATGCCACTTTGTGGACAACGACTCCCATTGTTAGGGCGGAGAGACATGTATCTTGTCAGTATATCCATAGCCTTTGGTAAAAGTAATTTAAGAGCCTGTTAAAAAGCTTCTGGGAGTGACAGGTTAAAGAGAATGGTCAGGGTGAAGAGGGAACTCTCCTTTATCATTATAACAGAAGGGACAAAAAGGGAGATAGCTACCCATCTAATTGTATGGTAGAAATTATATTATAGGAAGTTGCACATCAGTTCCTGTACACCCCAGTTCAGAGTTCTATTTACTATGGCCCTGATGACATCACAGCATCTTGGGCCTAACCATCTCTCATTGGCTGGAGGGAAGCCTTGACCTCAGTGCTATTTGTCGGTGGTAGGGAACACTGCGCAAGAAGTGCTTAAGACATAACGATCACTAAGTGAATTGAACAGTAGACAATGGAGATCAGCTGCAGCCCCTAGCCAAACACGATTCATCCCTCAGTAAAGACACGGTCACATTTAGAACTGCCTGCCTACCTGTTCACTGTGGGTGACATCAGCAGCACACGCACACAGAAACTCACTACAAAGGCTACCATCTCCCTAGAGATAACCTTGGCCTTATCCAAGCCCAGAACAGAACACATACTACCACAATTCTTCAACAGATTCAAGGCCATTCTTTAAGAGATTCCATGTATAAAACCAAAGTGAGACTGATGACAGGACTATGATGAGTTTGAAACGCACCTGTTTTAGTGGCTCTGACGTAGGGCTGCACAATTAATCAAATTCACATCGAAATATTGACATTTGCAATATCTACATCGCATGCAATATTTTAAAAACGTCACTGAGCCAGGTGTAACGTCCATTTTTATAGTTCAATGTTTTTTCTCCACTTGCAGCTACTTCCCACACACACACACACCAAGCCACGCCCCATGTCACTCAAGCAGCCCAGTTCCTCCTCCCCACTGTTAGATTCACTATAAGTTTGCATACTGTTCTGTTAGGTCAAATGCAGTCAACCCATTATTCCAAACAAGAACGATGCCGCTTTCTACTTAGCTTTTTAATATAAATCATTCAATTTCTATGATTCCAATGTTTTTGATCTATACTGAACAAAAATAAAACGCAACATGTTGGTCCCATGTTTCATGAGGTGAAATAGAAGTTCCCAGAAATGTTCCATATGCACAAAAAGCAGCGCAAACGGCCTCACAACCACATGTAAATACACACCAGCCCAGGACCTCCACATCCGGCTTCTTCATCTGCGGGATCGTCTGAGACCAGCCACCCGGACAGCTGATGAAACTGAGGAGTGTTTCTGTCTGTAATAAAGCTCTTTTGTGGGGAAAAACAAATTCTGATTGGCTGGGCCCAGCTCCCCAGTGGGTGGGCCTGGCTCCCAAGTGGGTGAGCCTATGCCCAGTCATGTGAAATCCATAGATTAGGACCTAATGAATTTATTTCAATTGACTGATTTCCTTCTATGAATTGTAACTCAGTAAAATCGTTGATAGTTTATTTTTTTGTTCAGTATATATCGCAAGTCAAATCACAACATTTTGAATCGCCGAGCAGACAAGGTGAAAAATCTGTCAATGTGCCCTTGAGCAAGGCAATCAACCCTAATTGCTCCAAGTCGCTTTGATAATGGCAGACCCTGGCAGTGAACCCACTCCGAGGGTGTCTCAAGGGTAGTTGGGATGTGCAAAACACACATTTCCAATTCACACATGCGTATAATACAATCTTGTACATTTGTTAAATAGGACAAATGAGCACCCACCTAATAACTATTATTATGATGATGGACACACTGATCACCAATGATCTTCAAAATGTCCAGTGCAAAACATCCTACAAAAATTACTAAACTCCCATGGCTGATAATCGAATGGAATATATGTACAGTAGGCTACATATTTGAAATGCTGAAGCCCTAGACATGATGCCACATCTTTCTAGTGTCTTGCTGTATATGTGCCAAAGAGTTTGAGGGAGTCAAACATGTCTCGGTGATGCTGTTGAAAGTGGACAATGAACTGATCGCTTATTGAGAGTATAGGGTTATCCTATCCTCTGGTCCTAACATCAGTCATTCCACAATGGACTAGACAGATTTACATGCTCTCCCTCTCCCTTCTCCATCGGCTCCCTCTATTCTAAGGAAAAGCATTTCATTCAATGACTCAAATGTTTAAAAAAATAACACGAAAACCACAATAAAACAGGAAAATGCAGTCCAGCAGGCAGGCCCACAGTGCACTCACCATCTCCACTACACAATGAATGTGTTACACCGACCGGACCCAAATAACTCAGCTCAGACAGATAGATGTTGCATTAGAGCTGACAATAATGGCGCCGATGGAGAAGGGTGACATCTTATGAGTTCCAACCCAACTTTGCTATATAGTGACGGTCGTTGTATGTGGCAGGGCTTGCAGACTATAATGGATTACAAAAGGGAAACCCAGCCAGGGGTTGCCCAGCGATGCAGAACTTCCAAACGAGCTAAATGCCTTTTATGCTCGCGTTGAGGAATATAACACTGTGTGATCTCGCTCTCCGTGGCCGAAGTGAGCAAAACGTTTAAACAGTCCAGACGGAATACCAGGGTCTGTTCTCAAAGCATGCGCAGACCAGTTGGCAAGTGTCTTCAGACATTTTCAAATCTGTCCTTGTCCCAGTCTGTAATCCCAAAATGTTTCAAGCTGACCACCATTGTCCCTGTTTCCAAGAGCTCCAAGGTAACCTGCCTAAATGACTAATCGCCATGTAGCACTGACATCCTGACGGGCCGCCCCAGGTATTAAGGGTAGGTAACAACACATCTGCCACGCTGATCCTCAACACGGGGGCCCCTCAGGGGTGCGTGCTCAGTCCCCTCCTGTACTCACTGTTCACCCAAGACTGCATGGCCAGGCACGACTCCAACACCATCATTAAGTTTGCAGACGACACAACAGTGGTAGGCCTGATCACCGACAACGATGAGACAGCCTATAGGGAGGAGGTCAGAGACCTGGCCGTGTGGTGCCAGGATAACAACCTCACCCTCAACGTGATCAAGACAAAGGAGATGATTGTGGACTACAGGAAAAAAAAGAGGACTGAGCACGCCCCCATTCTCATCGACGGGGCTATAGTGGAACAGGTTGCGAGCTTCAAGTTCCTTGGTGTCCACATCACCAACGAACTATCATGGTCCAAACACACCAAGACAGTCGTGAAGAGGGCACGACAAAGCCTATTCCCCCTCAGGAGACTGAAAAGATTTGGCATGGGTCCTCAGATCCTCAAAAAGTTCTACAACTGCACCATTGAGAGCATCCTGACTGGTTGCATCACCGCCTGGTATGGCAACTGCTCGGCCTCCGACCGCAAGGCACTACAGAGGGTAGTGCGTACGGCCCAATACATCACTGGGGCCAAGCTTCCTGCCATCCAGGACCTCTATAACAGGCGGTGTCAGAGGAAGGCCCTCAAAATTGTCAAAGACTCCAGCCACCCTAGTCATAGACTGTTCTCTCTGCTACCGCACGGCAAGCGGTATCGGAGCGCCAAGTCTAGGTCCAAAAGGCTTCTGAACAACTTCTACCCCCAAGCCATAAGACTCCTGAACAGCTAATCATGGCTACCCAGACAATTTGCACTGGGGGGTAGGTTTATGCAGGTTTATGCAAGGTTTATGCATGTGAGCTGTTGGTGAGCCAACTTGTCTCACCTCGCTGGCTATAAGGTCAACAAGGTGGTCATGTCCAGCAATGTACAAAGTGACTCATTTCAGGAAACTAGGCGTATGTCGCACATCACTACTTCACAGGAGAGCCATTTGAATGTAAACTCTATTTTTTTATCAAAATGCAGAAATGCCTTCTGGAACATGTGAAGTTTTCAACTTTCAATAACAAACTTGTATGCCATCTGTAAATGCGAATAAAAGTATTAAAATTACGAGCCTAGTTGGTTTAGCCACAGAAAAAGACAGGAACCTTCCCGCTAGCCACGATTGACTGATAATGGATAGGCTGGACATTCCGAGAGAGGAGTTCGGATTGGTCTGCCATGTAGCATGCTTCGGTCTATAACATGAGCTGGTCAGTATGTGTAGGTAATCCTTTCTAACGTGTCTTTTTTGAAAGATATCACATAGTAGAACTGCAAAGATGTTGCTTTCCATTTTCTGGAGGACCGAGTTTTGAAATCAGTGGAATTAGAGTATGATAGCTAAGGAGATGGAGAAACATTTTGCGTTTTATTGCAAATATGCAGACGGAGTCAAATAGAGAACACACAGAAGGCTGATGTATAAAACAAAATACAAAATGGGTCATGGTTTGCAGGGTACCAGAGAGATTATATTACAGATTACAGAATCGCCTTAACAATAAAGGTGAGAATGTCCTCGCCAACTGCAGCATTCTGGTACATGGAATGTGAGACAGAGTGGTCAGCACAGTCCAGAGCAGCGAGTTTCCCAGCAGCCGCAGGCCAGTCCAGTGTTGTAGTAGCTGCATCCGTCTGATACCAAGGAGTGTTGTCCTGGATGTAGGATGGGATGTTCCATCATGAGTGACAGAAGCCTCCACAACAACACCGCAATCTGCCACAACTGCATCAGAGGCAGTCACTGGCTCAGTTTCCATATCAGTCTGTGTCCACCTGAGCTCCACTCCAGTCGCACAGGTCGTTGAGGTCACACACGCTGTCACTCCCACACACATTCACCGCATGCGCACACACAATTTGCTGCTGCTACTCTTGTTCATTATTTTACTCATCTATCCTGATGCCTAGTCACTTTACCCTGCCTTCATGTACATATCTACCTCAAATAACTCTGCACATTGATCTGGTACTCCCTGTATATAGCTCCATCCTTGTGCATTTTATTCCTTGTGTTACTATTGTATTTGTATAATTATTTTAAAATTCTATCGTTGGAAGCATTTCATGGTAAAGTCTATACCAGTTGTATTCAGCGCATGTGACATAACATTTGATTTTAAATTTGATTTGAGCAAAACGTTTGTCAGTCTACACTGATTTTCTATGACCAGGCAAACATGAGTGCAAGCTGGGCAGGCACTAACATAGCCGCCCCCACATAGCCATGCATGACATCACTGAGGAGGAATTTGGGTGAAACCAGAACAAACCTACACCATTATACACGCTAACCTGGAAGAGGCTGGAAAATCACTAATTTAGTCATGAGGCTGTGTCCTCTCCTCTCCTCACACAGACCTGGTGTTGGGTTACCTACCCCTTGGCACAAGCTGGATTAGCGGGTTTTGGCACATTGCCGGCGAATCACTGCATTAAATATGACATGTAAGCCAACACAGCGGGGATGCACAAGTGACAAGACTTGACACAGAAGAGCAATATAAGAAAGGAGAGTAGATAGAGTGCGTAAAGAAAGTGAGTAAAGAGCAGGAGAGACTTGAAAGATGACGAAAGATTGAAGAGAGAAACAAGAGGGGGAGAGAGAGACAGACAGAGAAAGAGTTAGCGTCACGGCTGACACCACAGCGTGACATGGTTATTTATCCGGCGGGTGTCCTTGTCAAAGTTCACTTTGCCACGGCAGCATGATGAGAGCGAGAGAGAGATATTGGGGGAAACTGAAAGGCAGAGGGATGAAAAAGAGGAAAAGAGCGAGGGAGCATGATTCTGAGTGATGCTCCCTGCCAGGCGATTGACTCTGCGGGTGAGTGCTGTGCTGTGGGAAGAAGCAGACAGACAGCCACAAGGTAACAGTAAGTCACTCCTCACCCACCATCAAACCTCTCCTCATATATCACCATCACCACTACCTTTACAAACAAGTCTCTCCCACTCCACTGTCATAGTCACAATGACATGAAAACCCCTAACTAGATGTTAAATGGCACTACAGTGGTGCATGCTCTGCATACTTCTCTGTTACGTAAGACTGGGAAGCCGACAGGAAATGTAGACTGACACACATCCGTATGCAGCTAGATCATTTATTAGTAAGGGCTGAGCCGAGCAGCTCCTGGTTCCAGATGCATTGGCGTGGCTGGATCAAATGGATATCCACCTCACTACAGCCTGACTGGCAGACAGTGGAAAAGCAGTAGTGCACTGTGTGGAACAGGGCTAAACATCCGCAGCACAGACTCCAGAAAACAGAGAGACAAAGCTAATATCATAAGGGGTTTTCAGATAGTGACATAATGAATGCTATCCCGGTAACAGTTTGTGATCGACCAAGAAATCTGTAATTGGTTTACAAGAAATCTGCAAGTTCAGTTGACATTGTTGGTGTTATCATTGCCAACTTCCGCTTCAGCTCTCTAGAAGCAGCAATACCGCTACACTGTGCTCACTACTGCAGCTGCTCTCCTCTCTCACCAGGAATCAGTGACCTTAAACTGAAAAGAAATCATCCCTTTCACAAAGCTGTAGCCTAGCTAAGCCTTGCGGCTACGAATGAGCATCCAAGTCAACATGCAACTGCACTCTCTCTCCCTGGCTTAATCAAAGATTATGTTACGACTACTAGGCTAAACCGCAAATCAGACACTTTCCCCGACCACCATGTTACTCAAATCAAATCAAGCTTTATTTATACAGCACATTTCAGATATGGAATGCAACGCAATGTGCTTTACAGGAAAAAAAAACATAAAACAATTTATATAAAAGCTGAAATATTTACTACACAAACATAAGATCAAAAACAAAAGAATGACAAACTGAACGACTAAAAAGCACCCTAAGGAAAAGCAAAGCAAAAATGTTTTTAATATCTCTTTTAAATATGTCCACAGTTTCAGCCCCCCTCAGGTTCTCTGGCAGGCTATTCCAGAGGCTGGAGGCATAATAACTAAAGGCTGCCTCTCCATGCCTCTTGGTCCTAGGCTTTGGGATAGTTAAAAGGCCAGCGCCAGAGGACCTGAGGTACATAACTTAAACGCATGTCTGACATGTATTGGGGTGCACAATCGTGGATTGATTTAAAAACCAATAGAAGAAACTTAAAATTAATTCTGAAGCTCACAGGCAGCCAGTGCAGAGACCTTAAAACCGGTATAATGTGTGCTCTCCGTCTGGTCTTGGTCAGTCCCCGTGCTGCATCAATCTGTATGTTTTGCAGTTGACCAATAGCTTTCTTAAGCTCTCTCATAACCAGAGGGAGCCCCTGCCCCATGAATTAATCTGCTAATTTAACCCGAAGTTTGCGTTTCCTCTCTTCCTTGGAGGGAACACGGGCACCTTGCTCAGCACAAAAGCCTCCGGCGTCCTGCAGCACAGGGGGGCGGGGGGGGGGTTCAAGGAAGGGCAAGGGTAGGATGTGCTGAATGTGCAGAGGCTCCAGCTCGCTCTAGAACTTCACAACAGGAAGCAGGAGCCCATTGTTCAACGGACTGAAACAATCTGGCGCCGTCTCCACAGCGACCATGTGACCACGAACCAGGGGACATTTGACCAGCACCAACCCAGGGGTGAGGAAGAGGGGTGCCCTGGCCTGATGGATCTAAGGGAAAAAGGGGGAAAGGAGGGAGGAAAAAAGAAGCTGAATGCAGAGTGGAGTCCAGCCACTGGTCAAGCCAGTTCTGCTGACTGAGGGTTGGTTTCCGGGTCGTTTCTTTTCCTTTTTGTGAAATGCTTTGCTGCTTTATTGTACAGTCGGTTTGCCTGCACCGAGGAATGTCAAGTGTTCAGCAAATCCATATCCTCACAAGCATGTCACGAGATATCAGCCGGTTACCATTTGACAGTTCAAAGTTCACCACACAAACTTTTTAAAAGGTGATGTTTTATTAAAGAAGAAAATCAATTAAAAAAAAAATTTAACTGCTGGGGTAAAATGTAATGTTTCATTTAAATGCCATTTGGCGAGGGTTATTACCGTGCTAAAATGCATAAAGACTTCAAAGCAGTAAGCAGAGGAGAACAGTCATGTAAAATGTAGCTAGCTAAGAGGAGAAAAGGAAGCGACCTTGAGGACTGAGGCCATTTCATTTTCAGCTGAACTGGTTACATGCTTGTAACTTGTTCATGCTGCATTAACAGATATAGAGAATGATATGCATGTTTTATGCTTCGCTAGACAGCCTTAGTATGATAAAACTAGGCTACTTCATAGTGATGGGGGGAAAAAATCTATACAGTTACATATTAGTTGACGATATAGCGTATAAGATCGCTTTGAAAATAATTTATAAATTTCTAACTCCAGTATTTTTACTTCATAGCTTGTTCTCCATCTTTTTAAATACGGAGCCAATTTGTTTTTAGCACTTTAATTTCCATGACTGATCAAAACTCGTTTACTCATGGCTCTCGTCCCTCTGCAACAGACATATGTTGAGCAATATGTTTGGAACATCGAATCGCTATATATACACAGTTGAAGTCGGATGTTTACATACACCTTAGCCAAATACATTTAAACTCAGTTTTTCACAATTCCTGACAATTAATCCTAGTAAAAATTCCCTGTCTTAGGTCAGTTAGGATCACCACTTTATTTTAAGAATGTGAAATGTCAGAATAATAGTAGAGAATTATTTATTTCAGCTTTTATTTATTTCATCACATTCCCAGTGGGTCAGATATTTACATAGTCAATTAGTATTTGGTAGCATTGCCTTTAAATTGTTTCACTTGGGTCAAACGTTTTGGGTAGCCTTCCAAAAGCTTCCCACAATAAGTAGGGTGAATTTCGGCCCATTCCTCCTGACAGAGCTGGGGTAACTGAGTCAGGTTTGTAGGCCTCCTTGCTCGCCAACGCTTTTTCAGTTCTGCCCACAGATTTTCTATAGGTTTGAGGTCTCCAATACCTTGACATTGTTTTCCTTAAAGCATTTTGCCACAACTTTGGAAGTATGCTTGGGGTCATTGTCCATTTGGAAGACCCATTTGCGACCAAGCTTTAACTTCCTGACTGATGTCTTGAGATGTTTCTTCAATATGTCCACAAAAGTTTCCTTCCTCATGATGCCATCTATTTTGTGAAATGCACCAGTGCCACCCCATTTTTCCTCCAAACATAACGATGGTCATCATGGCCAAACAGTTCTATTTTTGTTTAATCAGACCAGAGGACACTTCTCCAAAAGGTATGATCTTTGTCCCCATGTGCAGTTGCAAAGCGTAGTCTGGCTTTTTTATGGCGGTTTGGAGCAGTGGCTTGTTCCTTGCTGAGCGGCCTTTCAGGTTATGTTGATATAGGACTCATTTTACTGTTGATATGCAGTGCGGAGAACAAGTATTTGATACACTGCCGATTTTGCAGGTTTTCCTACTTACAAAGCATGTAGAGGTCTGTAATTTTTATCATAGGTAGACTTCAACTGTGAGAGACAATCTAAAACAAAAATCCAGAAAATCACATTGTATGATTTTAAAGTAATTAATTAGCATTTTATTGCATGACATACAGTGGGGGAAAAAAGTATTTAGTCAGCCACCAATTGTGCAAGTTCTCCCACTTAAAAAGATGAGAGAGGCCTGTAATTTTCATCATAGGTACACGTCAACTATGACAGACAAATTGAGGGGAAAAAATCCAGAAAATCACATTGTAGGATTTGTAATGAATTTATTTGCAAATTATGGTGGAAAATAAGTATTTGGTCACCTACAAACAAGCAAGATTTCTGGCTCTCACAGACCTGTAACTTCTTCTTTAAGAGGCTCCTCTGTCCTCCACTCGTTACCTGTATTAATGGCACCTGTTTGAACTTGTTATCAGTATAAAAGACACCTGTCCACAACCTCAAACAGTCACACTCCAAACTCCACTATGGCCAAGACCAAAGAGCTGTCAAAGGACACCAGAAACAAAATTGTAGACCTGCACCAGGCTGGGAAGACTGAATCTGCAATAGGTAAGCAGCTTGGTTTGAATAAATCAACTGTGGGAGCAATTATTAGGAAATGGAAGACATACAAAACCACTGATAAACTCCCTCGATCTGGGGCTCCACGCAAGATCTCACCCCGTGGGGTCAAAATGATCACAAGAACGGTGAGCAAAAATCCCAGAACCACACGGGGGGACCTAGTGAATGACCTGCATAGAGCTGGGACCAAAGTAACAAAGCCTACCATCAGTAACACACTACGCCGCCAGGGATTCAAATCCTGCAGTGCCAGACATGTCCCCCTGCTTAAGCCAGTACATGTCCAGGCCCGTCTGAAGTTTGATAGAGTGCATTTGGATGATCCAGAAGAGGATTGGGAGAATGTCATATGGTCAGATGAAACCAAAATAGAACTTTTTGGTAAAAACTCAACTCGTCGTGTTTGGAGGACAAAGAATGCTGAGTTGCATCCAAAGAACACCATACCTACTGTGAAGCATGGGGGTGGAAACATCATGCTTTGGGGCTGTTTTTCTGCAAAGGGACCAGGACGACTGATCCGTGTAAAGGAAAGAATGGGGCCATGTATCGTGAGATTTTGAGTGAAAACCTCCTTCCATCAGCAAGGGCATTGAAGATGAAACGTGGCTGGGTCTTTCAGCATGACAATGATCCCAAACACACCGCCCGGGCAACGAAGGAGTGGCTTCGTAAGAAGCATTTCAAGGTCCTGGAGTGGCCTAGCCAGTCTCCAGATCTCAACCCCATAGAAAATCTTTGGAGGTAGTTGAAAGTCTGTGTTGCCCAGTGACAGCCCCAAAACATCACTGCTCTAGAGGAGATCTGCATGGAGGAATGGGCCAAAATACCAGCAACAGTGTGTGAAAACCTTGTGAAGACTTACAGAAAACGTTTGACCTGTGTCATTGACAACAAAGGGTATATAACAAAGTATTGAGAAACTTTTGTTATTGACCAAATACTTATTTTCCACCATAATTTGCAAATAAATTCATTAAAAATCCTACAATGTGATTTTCTGGATTTTTCTTTCTCATTTTGTCTGTCATAGTTGACGTGTACCTATGATGAAAATTACAGGCCTCTCTCATATTTTTAAGTGGGAGAACTTGCACAATTGGTGGCTGACTAAATACTTTTTTTCCCCACTGTAAGTACTTGATCACCTACCAACCAGTAAGAATTCCGGCTCTCACAGACCTGTTAGTTTTTCTTTAAGAAGCCCTCCTGTTCTCCACTCATTACCTGTATTAACTGCACCTGTTTGAACTCATTACCTGTATAAAAGACACCTGTCCACACACTCAATCAAAACAGACTCCAACCTCTCCACAATGGCCAAGACCAGAGAGCTGTGTAGGGACATCAGGGATAAAATTGTAGACCTGCACAAGGCTGGGATGGGCTACAGGACAATAGGCAAGCAGCTTGGTGAGAAGGCAACAACTGTTGGCGCAATTATTTGAAAATGGAAGAAGTTCAAGATGACGGTCAATCACCCTCGGTCTGGGGCTCCATGCAAGATCTCACCTCGTGGGGCATCAATGATCATGAGGAAGGTGAGGGATCGAACTCACAACCCTGGCGTTGCAAGCGCCATGCTCTACCAACTGAGCTACACGGGACTACACACCTACTCATTCAAGGGTTCTTCTTTATTTGTACTATTTTTTACATTGTAGAACAATAGTGAAGACATCAAAACTACGAAATAAGACATACAGTGATGGAAAAAAGTATTTGATCCCCTGCTGATTTTGTACGTTAAAAAAATCAAGAAAACGCATGTCAAAAATATTATAAATTGATTTGCATTTTAATGAGGGAAATAAGCATTTGACCCCTCTGCAAAACATGACTTAGTACTTGGTGGCAAAACCCTTGTTGGCAATCACAGAGGTCAGACGTTTCTTGTAGTTGGCCACCAGGTTTGCACACATCTCAGGAAGGATTTTGTTCCACTCATCTTTGCAGATCTTCTCTAAATCATTAAGGTTTCGAGGCTGACGTTTGGCAACTCGAACCTTCAGCCCCCCCACAGATTTTCTATGGGATTAAGGTCTGGAGACTGGCTAGGCCACTCCAGGACCTTAATGTGCTTCTTCTTGAGCCACTCCTTTGTTGCCTTGGCCGTGTGTTTTGGGTCATTGTCATGCTGGAATACCCATCCACGACCCATTTTCAATGCCCTGGCTGAGGGAAGGAGGTTCTCACCCAAGATTTGACGGTACATGGCCCCGTCCATCGTCCCTTTGATGCGGTGAAGTTGTCCTGTCCCCTTAGCAGAAAAACACCCTCAAAGCATAATGTTTCCACCTCCATGTTTGACGGTGGGGATGGTGTTCTTGGGGTCATAGGCAGCATTCCTCCTCCTCCAAACATGGCGAGTTGAGTTGATGCCAAAGAGCTCCATTTTGGTCTCATCTGACCACAACACTTTCACCCAGTTCTCTTCTGAATCATTCAGATGTTCGTTGGCAAACTTCAGACGGCCCTGTATATGTGCTTTCTTGAGCAGGGGGACCTTGCGGGCGCTGCAGGATTTCAGTCCTTCACGGCGTAGTGTGTTACCAATTGTTTTCTTGGTAACTATGGTCCCAGCTCCCGTGTAGTTCTGGGCTGATTCCTCACCGTTCTCATGATCATTGCAACTCCACAAGGTGAGATCTTGCAAGGGAGATTGACAGTTCTTTTGTGTTTCTTCCATTTGCGAATAATCCCATCAACTGTTGTCACCTTCTCACCAAGCTGCTTGGCGATGGTCTTGTAGCCCATTCCAGCCTTGTGTAGGTCTACAATCTTGTCCCTGACATCCTTGGAGAGCTCTTTGGTCTTGGCCATGGTGGAGAGTTTGG